TCCGCGGCTTTTGCTTGGGCCTTCCCGGACATCCTCAGCCTCTCGTGGGCACAAATCCCCTACACAAATAAACGGTCCCAAATGCAACAGCGCTCCAGAACGAAACGACTGCAACCCCCGCTGCGGAGAGACAGAAAATCCTTCCCGGCTCTCTGTCCGTGAATTGCTCCGCCAGCAAACGCCTGAGCAGTCTCACTGCCAGCTGGACAGTGCTGTCCCGCGCTGGGCGGGACACCAGAGGCAGCTTGTTAGAACTCTTAGCAGAATATGACAATATTCCTTTTCCCTGGAAGGAAACGCACTAACGCATGATTTGTGGTTTTTTTTCTGAAAACAAGCAATTCACGCTCAAGATCAATCAGGAACAAAAAGAGAATGATCGCTCAGATATTAACACTCCAAATGCATTTGCCATGTGGTCACAGGGGAAATTTTCACCTGTTTCATTGCTGAACAGAGGGAAAACTCTTCTTTAGTTAGTCTGGACCGTGTACTGCAATATTTCAGCCTCACCTGCTAGAGCACTAGTGAATATTTTTAGCCGTATTGAAAAGGGTTAAATAACTCCCATATCTCTGAAAAGCCTGGAATTGAAGGGTTCTGCAAAGACAGTGCTATGATTTACTTGCCTCTCTTCCCCGCCCTTCTCTGCCTGTGCTAGCTCTCTGAACTCTGCTGAAGGAACTGGGCAGTGACGCGCCATAAAAATTCAGCTTTTAGCAGGGGTGAGCTTGAACAACACCGAAGGCAAGGGTATGCAAGAAGGAGTAAAAAAGAGCATTGTTTTTTTTCAGCTTATTCAGTTACTGATCTTTCAATGATCTCCGTTGCTTTCTCAGAAGACTGAGGAGCTTGAAACTCTGTACCTCGACCCCCTCGGCTTCCTCAATGCACCTCCTGCTGACGGAGCGCAGGGCCTCCCGCGGCCGCTCACGAAACCAGTCAATAGCCGTGCCGTTAGCGATGGCTGGGAACTTCCGAGCTCGCGCTCGCAGCGTGGCACCGGCCGGAGAGAAACACAGAACGATCTGCGGAGAGGAGGGAGGGAAAAGAGAGAGAAAAGAATCACACGGCAAGTCGAAGCGATCAAAGAAAGGCACGCAACGAACCATGGTCCGGCGCCAGCCAGCGCACAGCTGAGGCTCCAAACCAAATTTGGCAGCTAATGAAGTTTGTCGGCTACCTTGGGCAAATAGATTTTAGTCCCTTTCCACTGTACAAACATAGCATAGCTGCAGCTTGTTTCCCCTCTCTCCACGTTGGTGTCAAGTTACTCGGTTTGGTAGCTATAAATAATAATGCAGCCACAGGGCCTGGCTGGCACGCAGACAGCCGGAAGGTGCACATTCAGCTGGTCACGGTGACACAAACCCGGTTCTTGAGTTGCTAAATCTATTCAAGCCACGTCTTGCCACTTCAATACGCACTACAACCCTGGGAGAGGAACGGGAAGAAAAGGAGATCTGGATCTTGGTTTGTATGTGAAGTTTTAGGGACTGTTCTCTACAAAAGTGGAAAGGAATGTCGAAACAAGGGTAGGTTAAAACAGTCAAAGAAAAATAAATAAATCTGTGACTGGCTGTTAGTATCACCAGGCCTACCCAAAGCAACTGACATTTGGGAAGGAAGCATTATTCTAGTCTCTCAGTCGTATCTGTGGACCTACTTACTGCCATTAGCACATGTTTTGGCCACTGTGTTTGCTTTCAGCTCATTAGCAAAATGACAGACATTATGGTGTTCAGACAGGACTGGAGTCTCTCCTATATGCTTCTTACTAAGTGAGCTGTTTTTGCTGTACAGGGCTTCTCGAACCATATCACATCGATATTGTCAATTCCAATAGAAAATTCCCAAATTGTATCAGAACAGATTATCGTTTCCCCAACAGCCACAAGAGCCAGGACAGAGCCTGGCCAGGCATGCTAGGGAAGCGACAGGTTTATTCCGCTTTTGGAGTAATTGGGAATTGACATTAACTATTAAGAGAAACTGGATGAAAAAGGAAGAAGAGCAGAAAGTTGAAAGAAAAGAAGGAAAAAATGAGTGAAGGAAGGAGGAGGCTGACCCGGGACAACACTTCACTGGGTTTTAAAGCAGTCAGAGAGGAGAAAGAAAGTGATGAGTAGATAGCAACAGTGGAAAAAGCTTCTGTGATATCTGGAAAGAATACACGGAAAATGGAAAAGACTTGCTACTATCTCATAATTTCTAAAAGTACACCTCTGCACTGGAAAACGCAAGACAACAATTTCTGCAATGACCCTTCAGTTATGAGCAAAGATGAGTGAGTTTAGGTAGAACTAAGTCAAAACAAGAAAATCTTTTAGCACCATTCAGAAAACCCTCTCGAAGAGAAACTGTTTCCTGAGACATTTATGCACTTTTTAAAGCTTGGGGTTTATGCTGAACCACAGGCTATGTCCTTTTTTTACTCCCACCCTTTTTAGCAAAATCAATTAAGAAATGGTCTCTGATCGCAAGCACTGGTCAGGCTGTATCTCACAAAATCTTTTTCCTCATGGTTTCACAGACTCAGTGGAATTTTGAGACTATTGAAGGCTTCAGATCAATGACACCGTTTTCAGAAGGGTGTGATATGGCCAAGTGTAACAGCAAGAAAAGCACAAGTGGTCCCTTCTTTTTGGGAGCCATGGTGGAAGCAGAAAAAGTGAAAGGCAGAAGACGTGTGAAACAATCTTAAAAGAATGAAATAGAAAGAACTGAATAAGGCTAAGAGGAAGAAGCAAGGAAGGCAAACAGAAGCAATGATAATCTCCCATATTGTGACAGACAGGAAGAGAAATGATGCAGACTAGAATACTAAATGGAGCATAAAATAGAGAAGAATTCACTGAAATATCTACTGGTGAGTGAACCATAAATATTCAATAAATTAGAGTCCCCAAGTCCATGCTTTAGGATGCACTGTGAATTAACTGCATGTTCTACTATTTTTTAATCCATTTGCTTCTTTCTGTTTCTAAATGGAGGGTATTCACTAGTACCTATTCCATTTCCAACATGCTGGCCAGTTTTCCAGAGCTACGAGATCTTGTAGTACCTTTTTTCTCTGTCTCATGGAGTGGGATGTAGAGGACTATTTCATATTAAAACAGAGATTTGAATTGCTGTCATTCTTCTGGTCCCCCTACTGAACTAGTTTATTGTCAGAGAAAAATACCTCTTATATGAACCTAAAATTCTGCTAACCACAAGCAATTTGCATGTTTGTCTAGGAAGTACTTGAGAATATGTCAGCAAGAGAAACCACTGGTTTTATATCACTTGTGACCTTTGACTCCTGCAAGAATTGAAAACAGCAGTGCGTGTTCTCATATTTGCAAGTAGATAATGTTCTCCCCCATCTTCAAGAATTAAGGCAGAAATGTAGACACCCATGCAAAACCACAACAGAATCCAGGTTGTCCAGGGATGTTAAAAGACAGGCCAATGAGCAAGCTGGTCTAAGTTACAGAAGAAAATGTCATCTACTTCAAATGTGTCCAGCACAAAGAGGCAAAGGGCAGAAATATCCACGTAGAAATCCATTCTAGCCAAGTGATGAAAACTACACTAAAACTGCACAAAGATCACAGAAAGATCTTGGAATTTACAGAAAAATTTTATCAAGCTAACAATAAAGAAGGGGAAACACCAAAGAAACAATCGAAAGAATGCAAGAATAAATGGTCTCCATCCCAAAACTCTGAATCAGAGAAGAAACATACATGAAGAATCTGCTAGGTCTGTTTCGCAGTTCTTAAAGACACTGGATGCTTATGTGAGTTTTCTGAAATTTCTTCTGTGTTCTACCATGTAGCCTTCAATTAGACATTCTCTCTCCCTCTCATTCATGTCACCTCACTTTCTGATAAAATTCTATGTTCAGCTGTAGTATCAGAGGCATGATGAGCATGCTGATGCCTGGGGCACCTCATTTTCTCCTGTCTTATTCCTCTAGCAGCCACCTTCTCAAATCTGCATGCTGTCCCTGCTATAGTAGTAGTGGTAATGGAGAGCCTAGAGATATCTGTCCCCGCTTTGATGCGCTTCTCACAAGCACCCTTGCTATAGCAGTGGTGCCAAACTGAACCTATCACACCTTTAAAGCTGCAAATAGTACACAGCCTTGCTACAAGTTACTTCTTCTACACCCTCCTACACTGCTCATATTGCTCATATTTGGACTCAAGTCTCTAACTTCTGGACTGTAAGAAGAGACCAAATCAAAGTCTTGGACCATTTGCCAAACACAAAACAGAATTTAGTGCTTTCCTCAATCTTGTACCCTAAGTAATATTTTATCCTCCCTAAATATTAAAAAATTGTTTGTATGGAATGAGTACTATTTATGCCCTATTTACATCAATCTTATGATGAACTTTAGGGGAGAAGGTGCTTGCTCTAACCAATGTCATTTGTTAGGAGTGGTTTAAAAGGACTACTTCTATATATAAGAAGGTGCAATAGTTTATATGAGTTGTGGATCCCTGAGGAGATAATACCGACTTTTCAGGATTATTTACTTTTAAATCTATGCTAACATCTAAATTCTGGATTTACTAAGTCATATCCATACTCATCTGTTCTCTCCTTGCCCTTGGCCACCCCTCCAAAAATATTTCTGAAAGTTTTAAAGAGTACATTCTAGTAGTAGTATGTTCTACTCTTTATTCTAATCTCATGTTTATCCAGTACAGTACTACTGGAGCTCCTGCGGATAACCATAGGACACAAAAACCTCTCAACAGTTAGCTTCCATAATAAATGAGTGCAGAACAGGAGGTGAACAGTGACAAGTGAAGACAGACAGGAGAGAAATGGTTGAAGCAACAGCGCATCTAGCACAACTTGCTAACCGTGGTAAGCAGGTCCTAGTGGAAGTCTTGGCAAGAAGTACCAGACGCACACTAGTCTTACCAGGACTAAGCAGCTGGAAAGCCCAACCAAGAAAAAGGAAATATACTTGAGTAAGTATCCTGGACTCAACTGTCATAACATCCCTGAAAACCACTAGTTTAAAGGCAAGTGAACTTAATACACGTGAAGTAGAGATACAACAGTCTTTTGCTCGCAATGCAGTCATATTCAAATACCTAGCTGTTATTTCACAAGTGCAGATTACAAAGCAAAAGGTAACACTTGAAAACAACTGCTATGAAGGCTAAGAAAAATGGGACTAGATGAGAGGATCTGCAGAAGCTAATAATAAAGAGAACAGCAGCAGATCTGAGTTCTAGAAACCTTGCAGAAAATGAAGAGAAACAATTAAATCCAATTTAAAGGTAGCCAGAGGTAAAATCAGTTGCCTACACACAAACTTTGTAGATTATCATGACAGGATGAAGTTTAGAAGAACAATTTCTCAACCCTTTAATAAATTACTTCTAGGAACAGCGGGATTTAGAACTCAAATTGAAACACACTGTTTAAAATTTCCATTACTTTTCTCTAAAACTTGAAGTTACAACTGAGTGATTTTTGCTATATTGTATTGTTAGGCAGGAAACACCAGCACAGCCATAGCTATAATGTAACACTCTAATTAGATAACTATGTCTTTGCTAATTATTTTTGTGGACATCAAAAAATAGGATATATCACATACTTGAAAAAGTAGTCATAAAAAGCAGGTAACCAGATCCTCATCATGGCATAACCTTTCTATCTCCTTTAGCTTTAGAGAAGTTTGGTAAAGTCACATCAGGCAAGGATTTGATGCGGCACGTTTTCAGGGTTCATTTCCATTCCCACCAGTGAATTCCCAATATTATAAAGGACCTTATACACTGCTTGCTTTGCACGCAGAATACTGAAGATGCCATGTGATCTGATAACAAGAAAGCTGCGAGGAAAAATGGGTTATTATTACTGACTACAATTTGAGCAACCTTTGCTTGAGCAAGGAGGTCTTATTTTGAAAACATTTATCTTCTGTCCAGGCCACAAACTACAGTCTAATTTGACAGAGGAAACAACAACAAAAAAAAAAGGAATAGGAAGTGTTCCGTGTAAGAAATGCTTTATTTCTTGCAAGACAATAAGGATATAAATATTACAGTGAGGGTATTTCACATTGAATTAGAAAAACTTAGGAAGTTCTCCAAGACAGATACATCCCTTTCTTTGAAAAAAATTTGGCTTGAGAGGGACTATGCCAGAGTCTTTCATCTGACATTTTTAAGATTTAAATTTGCACAACTCAGTAATGAAGACAAGCAGTGTGGACAAAAGAACTGGTATCATGTGAAATTAATATCAACTTCCATGCAGCATTCACCACTCCTAAGAACACAAAACCCCTCTTTTCTCATATGTCCCATCTGAGCCTCACACTCACATGTCACACTCACTACAGATGTGCCTTCTACACTATATTTTTCAGCTCAGCCTCCTCCTGCTTATCTCAGATATGCATGCTCTCTAGGTTCCCTGAGTGCTTCAAACAGAGCAAGACAGACAACAGTATATCTTAATACTAATGAACTACAGAGCACCTTGGCACACGCTTGACCACTGGTCTGACAGGGTCCGTCCTATTTAAGTGTTATCACACTTGCTTGCTTGGTTTTCCCATGTGAAACTAAGCAGTGTTGCAGCCGGAGTAAGGAGCTGTACAGACAAGGAATCATTCCTAACCAGCTCTATGCTGCCACCATCATTTGATGAGCGGAGCAAGGGAAAAGCTAAGCCACGTGGATGCCAGCCATATTGTGCCACTAGTCCTCAGGACCACAAAATACACCTCATAAATTTACTAATATAGAAGTATCCTTAAAAATCAGCTCTCTGAGTACTCAAGAAGAGATGGCTGACATCCAAATGAGAAAAGTCTGTAGCTTTTCATAGAGAAACAGGAACTCTGTAAGAGCCTGCCAACTGCAGAAGCGGCTGGTTTGTGTGCTACAGAACTTAGGAATCCTCCATAGCTTCTTGGCTGCCTGATGACATAACTGAGCCTTCATTCGGTGGTAGGGTAGTAACTGTGTCCGTCTATCTCTCATCCACCTTCCTCCTTGGTGGCAATTGGTTGGTGAGTTCAGAAACTAGTTGGGAGGTGAGACTGATCAAGTGAGAGACAGCATGATCAATTGAACCCGTATTTCCCATTGAATCAGACAAATATAATCACGTCTGGCATTAGTATAACATGGAAGCAGAAACCCTAAGAACGTGGTTCTATTTGGCTGGGATTAAAGCAGTCAGGCTGATAGGCATGTGTATTTGTACCCTCGCAGGAAAAACCATGAGGCTTGGCCAAAAGCTGAGCTGTGATGGGGCTGCACAAGTTCCTCTCAGATTCACAGATAAAAGCAGTGTTCTGTCAGTGGTGAAACAGACCACTAGGAAAATGCTAACGTGTCCTGATGAAAGAAGACTTGGAAATGATTTAAAAGCAAAGTAATAGTAATAATATGGACAAGATTGCTTGTGGTGATGCAGCGCACATGCCCTGCCTATGTTTGACATTAATTGTGGCTGAAACGTGAAACTGCTTTACTGCTGAGTTCCTTAGAAAATGGGAAACTAGGTAAATACTGACAGGACTGTGCAAGGAGAAGACCATTGTAAGGATGCAATGACTAAAGTGGTCCAGCCAAATCTGCCTATTGGAAGTAAATTGGAGAAATAGGTTCCCCCTAAAACCAGCAAACACGGTTCTTAATGCTAGGACTTCACAATGGCCACTGAGGGACTGTAAACTTTGAAACATGAGGAAAATACACAATGAGGAAACTTGTTCAAGAAATGGGAGTAAGTATTTGTAGTAGAAATCGCAGTTTATGAAGACAACTGGTTGCACAGGGACTAAGTCACAGAGGTTCAGTTCAGAAGAAAAGCCATGTAACACATGTGGCTTTAGAATATATAGTAATGTTTAAGAGCGCTGAGGAAACTGAGATGAGCTAGTAGGAAATATAGAACTCAGAAAACAAGCAAAGATGAAATGCTGTAGAAAGCCTGTTTACTGGAAAGAGTACATTTAAGAATATGTTTGTGTAGGATGTGGGTTGCAAGGCATTTAAGCACGGCGTTCCCATTTTTGGGAAAATGCTGAAAGGTTACCACAATGAAAGGAATAAAATAAAATCAGATGGGACTCCAAAGACAGCAAGACTGACTGGCCATGTCTCGTATCCATGCTTTTGAGAAATAGGTGCTTCTTCTGGCCTTTACTTTCACAAAAAATTTTGGTAATGGGCAGAGTATTTAAGAGTGATTACTGCACAGACATTCGGGATATTGAAAAACTTCTGGAGCTTCAGTAAACCACTGTGAACCTTAGAAACTTCTCAGCCTATGCAATGCCATGCCTTTGCACTGTCAGCACATTCCTATTCACAATGTCTGGCCATCAGCTTTGTTTGCTTAAGCAGCATTCTTCCTGTTAATTTATTTCATCATTCATCACCAAAGCTTTTGAAATCCTCAGGTGCATACATGTCCTCGCACACACTTCAGTTGTGGGCCCATATTTTATAATGGTGCAATCCACTGTCTTTGACATACTTCCAACTTACACTGGCATAAATTTACATCTATATACATGGCATGTTCTCAGTATGTTAACAGCAGGATTGATCGCAAGTTCCAGACTGAAAACAATCAGAACAAAAGCAATGCAAAACCAAAGAGCTATGACAGTTCAAGGAATCACAGCGTGTAGTCTGGGTTCCTGAGCTACAGATTCCTCATCGCAGACAGAACTGTAGGGTATAAGATGCCAGGCAAGCACAAAGGAAATGTGGCTTAACGTAGGGTGCTGGGTTTTTAAAACGAAATTGAAAAATGAGACTATATCACTTCACTAATCTTTAACTGAAACTGTCTAAATTCTCCCTTTTGTTCTCTTTCATATTTTATTAGTCTTTAACTCTTCAAAGCTAGGAAAAGGAGGAGGCGATAGGTCACCCAGCACTAACTAAAAGTCCATACAGATATCTGCCAGTGTGTTAACTCATGAAATTTGTGTCTTCTTTAGTACTATAATGTCTCTACTTTACTTGCCTGCAACTTGAATAGATATCTCCTGTTCTTGCCTCCAGAAGTGCTAATTTACACAGTGGGGGACTGGTGAAATGGTTGCAAGGTAAAAGGTGTTTGAAAGCTGGCTTTCAAAAAGCCCTTAAAAAAGAAGAAAAGAAAAAGAAGAAATTGTTGGGGGAATAAGGAAAACACAAAGGGAAAGAAATGGGAAAGAAGAAAATGAAGAGAGATATTAGACATTGTATTTTTTTCCTGTCTTTTCTTAAAAAATGTACACAAATGCAATAGTCATGAAACAGAGACAAATAGCACTGTCTAGAAATACATACACAGAAGGTAAGCACCACTATTGACTGTGTCACTGAAGTCTGGAAAAGTGAAAACTTGTCACACTAGATCCCATACAAGTGTCCACCAGCCTTTAAGTTACAGAAGAAATTTGTGGAGGGACAGAAGTGATGGCAACAAAATTAGAGATAGAAGGGAACATCAGCAAAACTCAAGCAGGATAGGAAAAAGAGAGAAGATGAGAAAAAAAAAAAAAAGAGAAACTGGTATGTTACAAAGTGTAAGAACCTGAAAAAAATCTCATAACCAAATGGGAATGATCTTTAGGTCAGTGGTGGTTAAACACTTCAGAAGCAGCAGAAAAAGCCCGCACAGAAGACTACTGTGGAATAATCTGCTATGGGAAGGCTCTTCTCATCCCCAATCAAACAGATCAGTATAATACACAAAGTATGGGGCATATACTCCTTCCAAAACACTCTCTTTCTAAAGCTTTAATGGTTTTCAGACCTTCAATTTTCTTATCAGCTACATACATGTTTCAGATGATGTATAAAATTGAAGCCTGCATAAATCAAAAATTCCTAAAGATTCCACTGCAAAACCAGTGTTCCCAACTTCTGCTTTCCAGCTTTCAGAAGGTAACTACAGCCAGCCTCAACAACATTACCTCTAAAATGGAGTTCTAAGAGAGATAGTTGGTGCAATTGCGGTATCATATGAGCCTGTATTGTTAAACAGCTTTTGAGCTGAAAACAGCTACGTGGATATTTGTATTTTACCAGTTTCAAATGGCATAGGAAAAGTAGAAAGGATTAACACATACTGTGAAATTCAGAATTACTATACGTGTAATTAGGGAACATATTTACAACTGCACTAACTGCACCACTAGCTCCTCATCAGCATCTCACTTCTCTCTGAAATGCGTTGTTCTATTCAAAACCTAAGATGATGAAACTAGATGCAAAGCAGCTATGTGACTTTCCTGTGAACAGACAGAACTCAGTAGCCAGGCTACTACAGGGGTAACGTGAGAGAGGCAAATTCGGTGTCACACGCTGGGGAGGATGTCTTTCAAGAGAAGTATGCCAACATACGTGGCGTTATAAGACAACTGAAATATGCTGTAACTTTAACCAGTTCAGTACTGCCTCTCTCCCCTGAGATATGCCTTACTTTTAACTGCAGCCGCACTCAAGAAGAATTTCCAGCAGCTTTCTCTGATGTCCATCAGGCCCAGGACTCGGACTTCTTTTCTGACTCCTGTAACTATGCCATCCACATCTTCATCACTGAACAGATCTGGAACCTCTCCTGTGAAAATACCAAGGGGTAGTTAGGGGAAGCCTGACACAATGCAACCTGAGAAATGATCTACGCAGTACAATGGGGTTTAGGTGCAGAACTAGAGCTATGCTATGATAATATATAGATCAAGTAAAGAAACAGTTTGTTCCTGTTCATCACACCTTTTCACCTAAAAAGAACTATTCTTTTTATAAGGCAGAGGAAACTAAAAAAAAGACAAAAATATTTGCCCTGATAGGAAGTTCACTCATAAATTGCATATCCCTCAGCACAGTGGTTCATTTTTTATAGGCTGTTAGAAAATTGTTTTCCAGTCTGGTTGCAAAAATAAATAATAATTTAAAAAAAAACTTTCAAGATGCCGTTCAACTGTACAGAATAGTATTATTCCCATTTTTCTTCCATCCTATCTCCAGATCCCCACAATCAGAATCCAGATTCTCTAATTTTCAAAACATGGGTGAAACTGCATAGCTGTCTGTTACACTTGTGCAGTCACAAGGATATTTCTTGAAATCCGTGAAATCATATTAAAGCAAACATGGCATTTAGGCAAAGAGAGATTCTCATCTCTCCACAAATCAATGCACTTCTGCACAATAAGCGTTAGCAAGTCATCTCCTCAGCGGGCAATGACTTCTTAAGCAAGTTAGACTCAATGCTCAAGTTGGATGAGTTGACTTGGCCTCTCTAAAAGCTCCCCCTACAAATACCTGAAAGAGGAATAATCTTTTTAAAGTTCAGTGAAACCACAGATCATTTGTCATTGGAAAAGATCTTTCAAAAAATGTGTTGGTCTAATCACCTGATGCCAACATGTCATTAATCAGCACAAGAAAGCGTTCATCTGGAACCTGGGCATCTGTCAGCGAAAACACTGTGGGCATGTTCTTGGCACCAGTCTCGATGTACAAACTGGCAAGATCTACCTGTAAGGAAAGGAGGCAATCACTCATACTCTGCTAAAACATTGATACAGAAAAAGTGTGAAATGCATGTTAGTGGATGGCAATGCATTGCTGACTTCTCCTTACTTTTCCCATTTTATTTACATATCTCTAATTTGCTGCACAACATCCCAACAGAAAAGTAGTTTGCCTCTAGTTTCCATATCAAGCACTAGGAGACTCCACAACCTCCCTGGGCAGCCTGTTCCAGTGCTCCGTCACCCTCAGAGAGAAGAAGTTCCTCCTCATGTTCAGACGGAACTTCCTGTGCCTCAGTTTGTGCCCATTACCCCTTGTCCTGTCACTGGGCACCACTGAAAAGAGCTTGGCCCCATCCTCCTGACACCCACCCTTCAGATATTTGTAGGCATGTTTTGACATGACCTAGTGATAAAGATCAAAACGGACTACTTAATCAAGGAAATCCCCCCGTGAATGTACTAAAAAAGGGATCTTGCAGCCATGAAAGTCCCCAGCAAGAACAGCCATAGCCATACCAATAGTGTTTGAGAATTGCACTGAAGAGTCAGATCCATTCTAAACTGTGTTATTTCTGCAAAACTGTTTTTTTCAAAACAAACAAACAAACAAAAAGAGACTGAGTAGTGCATTGTTACTTTTGTTTTCACACAAGGGTGGCCCAGAGAGAGACATGGTATGGGACCATTGTGCTAGCAGTGGTACAAACATGGAATGCTTTTCGGCTTTGGGTTCCAGAAAAAAAACAACATACATAAGTTGCATTCCAGTGTGGTCACATTCGGAACACAGATTAAGGCCAATACTGGCTGATATGAACAAGTTGCCACATGGTCTAGCAGAAAGCAAATCCCCGGGCTTGTTAACAGAGGTGAAGAAATTTCCTTGCTTGGAAACAGCATGGGGGAAATGACTACTTGAGCCCACATCTTACACTGCACATCATTTTCCCAGGGAAGGAGAGCACAAGTTAGACACTACGTAAGATGCTGAAGAACACTCAGCACTTCTCCAAAACAGAACAGCATGTACCTCACTCTTGAAACTCATGTCTTGAGCTGCACACACTGTGGTGGCTTGGCCTTGGCCCAAGGCTAACTGAAGGGCTTTTTGGGGACGACCACCATCTACCAAATTTGGCCATAATCAGTTCCTCATTTAGCCTCGTCTGAGATTCAGAAGCATCGCTTGTTGTCCACATGGAGTGAAGAGGAAGAAAATGTTCCCTCCTTCCCTGTTTGCTCACATAGATAGGGCTCAGCCTTGCAAGGTCATAAAGTCTGTAAGCCTGATGGAGCACCTCACTCAACTATATTCTTTATCTTTGCATAAACAATATAACAATAAAATGACTCCCATGCCACAAGGACAAAATTTTGTGTGGTGTTCACCTACATGAATTTTCTTCCACTAAATCAATACACATGGAATTACAGGCACAAATTTGTAACAAATGGCTAAATTTAAACACCAGAACTCCAACCACATCTTTGTATGTGTTGAGTAGCTGCCTTGGAAAAAGTGGAGAAAGTACCAAAATTCTGTGAATCATATAAACAGACACTAAAATACCTTTTCACCACTAATTTTTCAGAGAATGAGAGGTAGAGCTGGAAACCACAGGAACCACAGGGGTTGTTAACTGTAAATTACACTGCTTCACCTGTGATTTTATCAAGCCTGTGTAACAAGGAAACAATGCATTCTTGAAGTAGCAGACTCAACAGACTCAATATCTATTTGTTTACCCTAAGGTCCTGGATCCCGTACTCTTTCTTCAGTGTGATTTGGAAAACCTCCAGGGAGCAGATGTACGCTGCCAGCCTTGACAAGCTTTGTTTACCACTACCACCTACTCTAATTAGAAGTGCATAACCCCTAGGGGCTTCTAGGATATGACTGATCCAACACCTGATGACAAAAAACCACAACAACGTTACATAGACTTCAACAACCTTCTTAGCCAAGTGTTTCATTTTTTTTTTATTGCATCAAGCTTTCTTAACTTTTCTTTTACTTCTGTCTTTTTTTGTCTGTGATTGTGGCAATGTGCTCCTGACACCTAAAGGTATGTTATCTTCATGTCAGCATTTTGTTTCTTTCCAATACTTGAGCAAGTGGAAAGAAAAGCTGTTTTCCTTTGTCAAATATTGAAGGTCTGCACTGACCTCTACAATGACCAGAGCTGACTGGTGGCTCGTTCTTTACATTGAGCTGCTCCAAAGCATCATTCCAAGATCCTGATGGACCCTGACTGGACTCAGATTAAAGACCTAGTTAACTTGAAGGGAGGTTGACTGGGCCTTAGGAGAACATGAGAATTTCACATCTGGCAGTTTGCACCTCAGAGGCTGAAGGATGATGAATAACTTCAGGAAAAATATGTGTCAAACTTTAATTCACTCTTGGAATATCTAACCCAGACTACTGAAGGCATGCTTTTATTTGCTGATCATGGAATATTATAGGATGATTGAGGTCAGATGAAAATCTGGCCCAAAATTAAACAAAATTTAGCTGCTAGAATTTTCAAATGTGAACACTGAGGTAATTCTTTCCCCCCAAAATTACATTTGAGACGTTGAAAGAGATCTCTTGCAATTGATATTTTAATAATTTATAGAAGCATCTGAAAATTATTATCAGAATTTCATGTTTTAAAATCAGATGTAGGTTCTAAGGGATTACAGCCTAATATCAGCAGACTAGAGTTTAGAGACAGTACGTTGCACCTTTTGCTTCACTTTTCTTCCAAGTATCTATGAAAAAAAACCTCAAAGCAACACCCTCATTCTCTTTATGTCTCATGCCACTGAAAAAATCATCTCTGAAAAAACACCGATGAGAAATTTCTGAAATAAAGGGATAATGTGTCTAATCTGGTTGCTTCTAATAAAGAGGTAGAAACCTGTTCAACCAAAACATTACTGGAAGCCAGTTCTCTTTGACCTCACTGTAGAGCTTTGTCAGCCTTATTCATAATTTCACAATGGATCCATAAAAAACCCCATAAAAGGTGTGAAAAAGATTTGCAGGATTTAATTTCACATATGCTTTTCTAGGACTGCCAAATTGTAAGGCTAAGACACCCTGCCACTTTGTTTGCCAAACTGGGATACTGCTCTCAGTCACTAGACTTCAGAGAGAAGATAATGGCTTACCAACATTTTCAAGCAATGCTAGTGATACCCGAGAAGGCTTCTGTCTGCGATTCTGATGATTATCACATCAACCTCTAAATCAGCAGAACAAATTCTACAGTCCCTATGAAAGATCCATATGATTATCTTTGTAATTTAAGCTCTTTTTTAATCCTCTTGGAGAGAAACTTCTACAATAGACTGCTTTGTCAAGAGTGCCTTCTCTCAAATAACTCCTGCCTGAATATGTGCAAAGTGAAAAACGATGACACTTAAATCCTAGTCCAACTCAGTGAGAATAAAAGGTTCCAAGTTAAATGATTTGACACTGCAAATAATAGAAACTGCTTTAACAAAACTAAGCTCTGCCAGCATGGGCCTCTGTCTCTTTCTGGAAACCACTGATATTATACATGACCAGAATGACTGTACATGTTGAAGAAAGTATAAATAATGACAAGGAGCAAGCAACAATGAAATCTGTGCCTCGCTTATTCAGCAAAATCTTCTGAAAACTGGCTGGAAAACAAAGCAGGTGTAGCTAATCAGATTTCAGAAACAGAAACAGATTTTGGGCCATGATGGATACTAAGATATTGCCCGACGTGAGAAAAACAAATTACATTAAACTGAGATAAGGTGAGAATACATATAGAAAAAATTTATTGATAAATAAAATCAAATTTAAAAAAAAAATCTGTGATGACACTTAGAAGTCTGGGCTGGTTTAGGTTTAAAAATGTACAGGGCTAGGCAGCAAAGCAACTTCAAGTCTGCCATGCATTGGCATCATTTAGTATATACTTAAGGTAATACTTGTCCTTGTTTTGAACTTTCCCTTTCTTGGAAAATAAAGATAAACATTACTTTTCTTGTAAAGGCCTGTTACATCATTAACTAATTAAAGATAAGGCAGACTATCTACAGCGTTACAGATTATCTTGCCAACCTCAGAGAATAAGTGGTGCTTATTTCTGTGCAGCGCAATAAAGAACGAATCTCTGTTTAAACAAACAAAACCGAGGTTACCTTGAACAATGAGCCACAATCTACTCTTCCATAATGGCACCAATAACGTATATTTAGCAGAACTACTGCTTATGGTGCCTCACATAAGCCTTCCATTGAGAGTGAGTGAGTCTCCAACACAACCATCTCTGAACAGTAAAAACCAACAACTTCATGCAAACATTGGCAGTATCATTATGAACTACTTGCTCCTTTTATAGATATTCCACTTAGACATGCTGCATGGCACCCTCGAATAAGACTGGGTTCATAGAAGCATGCATTTCATTGTAGCTTTCTAGGAACTCCTCAAGTATATTCCTCAGTGATTCCCACCCTCTCACTGGCTTGTAGCAAGGGTCTGCTCTGCCGTTTGCAAAATGGCAATAGATGAGTGGAGACTTCAGCAACACTTGGTCTTCCACATTCTACCACACAGTAAGAGAGAAAAATAACAGTTAAAAAATCCCCCAAACACAGCACATGAAAAAGTTTTCATGAAAAATAGTCTATTAGTGTAGTGATCGATGTACCCATGCATCTATGCCCTGAAAGACTAAAAGTAGGTGCAAGTATGGGCTCAAAGCATTTGCACAATATGTCCAAACAAGCTCCAAACAAATTATTAGTAAAGCTGTCTGTATCTTTAATTGTTCATGTTTAAACTAATTAAGGAAAAAAATCAAGGAAAAAAATTAAGGAACAGTCATTTTTTTTGTGATAGGAAGTCACTGCTCAATCTAGGTTCAAACACACCCAAATATTTTAAACTTCCCATTTGAGTGTCCTCATTCCTATCCTTATTCTATTTCTTTTCACTCCTTTTTTACTGGAAAATAGAAATTAGAAAGGAAGGGGAAAAAAGACTTATAAAAAAAGCTGAGGTTTTCCAGTTTCCATTTTTTGTCAAATAAATTCAAATACTCCCTCCATCTCCATCCCTTCCCACCTCCCCCCCTCCCCCGCCAGTCAGGAAAACTATTTTCTTTTTCAAAAATCAAATATACATGCATTTAAGATGTTCATTTGAGTTCATGTTTCTGCTGCTTTGTCTGCTGCAAAATGAGCATGCATTTAAGCGAAGCGTTTTTGAAGGGCAAGTAGAAACAGTGTTGTGGTCCTCACTAGCTAGTTCATCCTTGGTAGTGGCACCAACACACATTAATTCCAGAATGAACTGTATATGCAATAATACTACATAATATGTGACATTATTTTGTCTTCCTTGTGCCATGTCTGATACAATGAACAATATTGAGAAGTACTATATTTCATTACATATGACAGGTTAAGGAAACGAGGCATACATAACAGAACTTACGTGAGAACATCAAGGCAAAGGAATATACTTGTGTCCTGGCTTATATTTGCAGTATTTCCACTGTGAAAACCAGGTGGTTGTATTATCCCTCATCCCCATATAGCAGAAAGACCAAAACAAAACCTGTATACCTATTTATATGTTTCGCAATTTACAGTGTCTTAACTGTTTAATAGTTTAATTCTGATAACAGATACTTTTATTTGGATAACCAACAGTGCTCACAGTTCAAAAAGTACCTGCTGTTTTACTGACATGCCCCGAAGCCCAAAGAGAGACTGCAATTTAAAATTATGTGAAAAATCACTTAATTGAATGTTTTAATATATATGCATACATATACATACCTACACACACTTAGTACTCAAACTATTCAGGAAAAGAAAACTAATACAAAAGGAAGAATTGGTAAAGGAAAATGAAAGTATCTTATTTTTGTGGTTTGAACCACAGAACCAGGAAACAGAAAACAAAGACCGCAACTTGTTTCCATACATCCAGTGAAAGACAAAGAGTCACGTCCACAGATATGTTGGTACATCCCCGTTCCTGAGAAGGCTCCAGTGTTTGCTCTGAGTTACTAACAACACCACAACAGAGATACCTGACAGTCCTCTGCTAGTCAAACATTACAGTCAAGGTAAGAATAACCACCTCTGATTCTTCTCAAGCGGGAAGCTTCCTTGATTTCCCCTTTTCACTTACTCTGGTGCATGGTTTTCCTCCATAAGGAAGATGCTTGCACTGGGGGCTGAGCATAAAAAGATAGTGCACTGCTGCTGCTTACAGTTCCAGTAAACAACAGCTTTCACTACCCAGTTTTTAATTGCTGGCATTAGGCAATATACTTTGAAGCTACCAACATACCTCAAAATACTTGTGCATAGCGTCCATCATCATTTTATGAAAGAAATTTCAGTCTTTGTCTTCCACCAGTTTATCCCCATAGACACGTTCTGATTCATGAAGCCAAAGACGTTGAAGATCATTTGGTTGCTGTAAACACTTGTGTGTAGCACACAGAATGCCCTAAAGTTAACATAATATATATATCCTTTTTAAAATGCTGTCATCTGGCATTAAAATAGGCCACCCTGCAGAATATCAGTTAGTGTCCCTTAAAAGGCGCTAATCATACTGAGTAGATACCCAATACACATCGTGCTTGCAACTATATAGTCTGTAACATGAACCAGAATGTCTATAAATTAGCAAGTTCTCCAGCCAACTAAGCATGCATCATGTAATTAAAACAAATGTCTGCTCTCCGCTGACTAGCACACTTAGGTGACTCGTTATGGTTTGAGACCCTGGTGCAGTACAGGATGCAGTGAAGCATCAGCACTGCCAGGATCTTACGTGTTCATTGGCCCTGTTTTGCAACACCACTCAAGAAAACAGAACACAGTTTATCCTGACAAAATCAGCACTTCACTCAAAACTTCCTTCCTTAAAAAATTCCATACCAGGATGGGTGCAAATGTGCGTGATGGGCCAGTGCACCCCCATCAAACCAAGCACATGTTATACAGGGCAGTATTAACAGCAGACCTGACAAATCCTTGCCTCCTTGCTCACAGTTCATGATGATCCATGGGGTGGGCAGGCAAGAAAAATACTCTGGAAGAGAACAGAGCTGTACTCCAAGGAACAGGACAGCAGGTAAACCAAAACCAGGACCAGATGTCCCTGATTTTACAAGAGGGACCCAGATTTGCTGACCATATTATATCTTTTCCTCATTTTTCTCTTTAATTCCTGCTCTGATGCTTGGCTACCAGTTTCAGTGTCTGATTCAGAGCTTCTTCAAGCTCTTTTTCGTTCTACCTAGTCTCTAGACAGTTGTTCCTCCCTCCAAACAAATGCTGACTTTCTCTCTCAAAATAATAAATAAGCACAGCAAACTTTGCAAACCATTGCTCTATTTCCACTAAACATCTTTTCTTTCTCGGCTTTCTACCCCTTTCATCTACTGGACCATAGTCACCTCAGGGGAGGAACTATCTCCTGCTTTGTACAAAGAGCATCTGTTCTTCATTAGTCCACTGGCCAATATACATCATTAAATAATAAAGACCAGCCATAATAGAGTGTTGTTAGGTAGAAAATTAACCCATGATATAGACCTGGAAGATGCTGGAGAGGTCTCTTATGTTAAAGAAATAGTGGAACTTAATAGCAGTTGGAGGGAAGTTTTGAATCACCGCCTGGTAAAGCCATATGGCTGCTTGTACTATGGCTGGAATATTCTTGATTACTGGTAGTGTAAAAGCATGTTTCTGGATGTGGAAGCAAACTACCTTGCTGTAGATGGTAGTCAGTGAATCTGAAGAAGGGAAGTTTAAAGCAAATACTGAAAAATGTCTCTGAAAATGAAAAGGGAAAAAAGAGATGAAGATTCTCCAGCATCAGGAAGCAAGTAAAAGTCAATGCAGTGTTAAATGACAATACAGCCTAGTGAAAATACAGTTACTTGTGCATCACACAAAGTACTTCATTTCTAGCCTTATCCTTGATGCAGTTTCACAGCAGTTGCATGTCTGGGTATGAGCCCCAAGGGGAAATCTGCCAGGCGAAGGACCACATGAGACTGCAATTGCTATGAAGTTCAGGGGAATTTCAATATCGTAATAAATATGGTGTGTCTCTTTCTGTTTAGCTATAGGAATGGTAGGATTTTGAACCTGTACTAATTTTCAGACACTATGCCTTCTCCTATCCCTTTTCATCTCCTACCTACTGTAGTGAAAAGCAAAATAGTAATTATCTCACGTATTAAATACAATATTGCTATAATATGACACTTCAAACCATACCTGGAGTCTAGGATTGATAGTGAAGCTGCCAGCAGTTGGATTCATACAGCCAATATACTGACATTTATTAATTTCTTTAATAGTTAGCTTCTGCCTATCATACCTGTGAAAGAAAATGTAGCTTGATTAATATTAGTGACAAAATACTGTACATTTTCCAGGCTTAACCTCAGTTGAAGAATCAACGTTTCTGCCCTATGGGAAATCTGGAATAAAATGGCCATGGAAGTATCAAATTCAGGCTGACATTTTAAAATTAAGAAAAATCCCACAATTTCCATCACGTAATATTGTGTTCAACATTTTTGTTGAAATGAAGATACTGTATTCTCACAAAACATTACGATGATGATAAAGAGAAATTTTAATTAAACTCTCTCCAAACAAACTTGGATGAGTACAACATGGTCAAAGGAATCTCATATCAGTTTTAGAATGCACACAATCATCATAGATAAGAGCAGACAAAATTAACACATCTCAGTCAGAAAAAAAAAAAGCAAATATCATCATAGAGTATCAGGTGGCATGATTAAAAGATCACTCCTTTTTTTTGCGGCATCATCCAATAGATACTGTTTCTGGCTCTCCATATGACACAGCTCCAGGTGCATTAAAAGGAGGCCACTTAAAAAAAAATTAATTAAAAAAGATTGAGGCTTTCAGTAACTGGCAATTTGAGTTCTGATTGCACAAATCTGAAGACAGAGGCTCGCCTCTTTAGAAGTTAGTGTACAACTGAACTCGGCCAAGTAGGTACCATCTTTAAAAAAAATACTGCAAAAGGAAAACTCATAAATAATGCAGCCACTCCCTGCTTAAATCAACAGATCCTTCCCAGAACTTCATAGTATAATGCATTCTCTTTCTTTCTAAGCATTTGCAACAAATTCTACTCTATTTTAGAATTCTCAAAGGGTGATGTTTTAAATTCTTGTTGTAAAATAGAGATTTTTAATTTTTGACTTGGCTTTCTTTCAGAAGAAAAAATTGAAAACAATTCAAAAGAAAGAAGCATCAACCGTTTTAAGCAGGAGCGACTTTTAAGATCTGAAGTTTGAAATCTGTGTGAGAAAACAAAAAGATTCCTGGCTAGAACACCATATAGCTCTGGGGTGAACACAGACTGAGACATCAGTTTTGCATGTCACTGAATTAGACGTGATTGATTTCACTGAGCTAGAGATGCTTCAGGTTTGAGCAGTCACTTTCTTTTTTCTCTTTCCATCTTGTTCCTGAACAAGATATTCAGCTGATGCCTGGCATTGTTCCTTCATGAGGTGAAGCATGACCTAGTGAAAAGCTTGCACGATTCAATTGAATCTGCATTAAAAGATGCAAGAACAGTACAGACATTATTGCCTCAGCTTGGTCACAGTTATACTCAGATCACAGCATACATGCCAGTGAAAAGAAGAACCTTCTGTGAAACAAAAGGTTTAAGGGTATGGGTAAAATCCTAGCACACATGGTGAAGAGGCAGAGAACTGAGTAGATACACGCAGCCTCCTAATACCACTAAAGTATGGCTGGTTTTGTGCATGGACTGCTTGCCTATCTGTCTGTGAACCAGCTTTTAACAATACACAGAAAAATAGCTATGTGTATGTAACTTTTTTTTTAACTGTCCGATTAATTCTCTCCTTTACTCACCAAATCATTCACAATGTATTCTTTGTATGGCACAGGTTTTCTTCATGTCACATAAAAATGACATGTTTGTACATGAACAAGAATCAAATATGCATTTATAATAACAATGAAGTATTTACATAAGATATAGAACTTCCTGTAACAGAATGAAATCAAGTACTACTCAATTGATTTTAAACTGAAAATTTTCTTTTTCCACAGACTCTTGTGATAGGATACTAATATATTTTAACTGCCAAAAAATGAAATTGTCCTCTGGAAGGTAATAAGGGAATTACCTTAATTGCCAAAATCAACTTAATTCTCCTTCAGTGGTCATCTTCTATGGTTTTCTTCTCATGGCAGAGAAAGAGCATTTGTTTGAACCAGTATCATAAAGTTCCTGTGGATTTTGTCTGTTGTCTTTACAGGGTGATAAAAAGATAGAGGGTAGCGTAGGCTAAACATCTCACAAGCTGCAATTTAGGGAGTCAGTTTCTGCGTCTTATACATCCCTGTTCTCATCAGGTCAATCGACAGGGGCAATGTGCAGCAGCTCCATCAGGAGCAGCTGAAGGATGTTTTCCTTCCTAGACTCTCTATAGCCCCTTCACTTTCTGCTTCTCTTCTAGAACTGTTTATAACCTCCAGGGAAAGCATGCTTTTCTGTTGAAGCAATTCTCCTAGAAGTTTTCTGTTTCTATGTGGTTTAGGGGTCCAATTATGGACCACAATACAAAAATGATAACATAACATTAAATAAGAAGTAAATGCTCACCAGTGTCCATAATCTATATGTTGCCAAATCAATGCATGAGGATGAACCGTTCCATATCTATCCACTTCAGGCATATTCAAATCATCAACAAAATATATAAGTTTCTTATTTCCTACTGGACCATAGTTATGACCAGCTTTTTTCTCCAGCCTTTTTTCAAGCATCTCTGAAATGTAACACAACATACATAAAAATTATTACCATACTAAGCAATACTGAAACTAAACAAAATCAAGAATTCAAAATCATGCTGGCCAAAATTTATGGAATATTTCACCACCTACAAGGGTTTTTGAACTACTGAAGTCCTTAGTAGTCAGTGAAACTCACGGGATGTCTTTGAAAAAATGTCACACTGGGATTGTGAATTCCCGAAGAGTCTTGTTGATTTAGTTGGTTGACTGCTTCACGGTGTTTGAAAATCTCTCTGCATATCCATCTGCATCCTTTGGAAGTGAAATGCTTTGAATGTGAAATCCCCAGGTATCCTGACACTCAACAAGTTTATCAGTGAAGTAGATTATGTTCTCCTTCTCTTGGGAAGGATTAAACAAGGACTTTACAATATGTAAAGTGTAAAAATAGAAATGATAAATATCATTTAATCAGGACAGTTAATCAGGAAACTAGTATGGCATCTCCCATACTAAGGCATATTAAGCTGATTATATTAAATTTCAACCTATTCCCCAAAATGAGATGCTTACATGATGCTGAATGTAGATCATCAGATAACAAAACTGCTACAACACAGTGAACAAATTGATTCAAATACCCTTATGTATTCATCAGAACGATAAAATCTTGAGACATAAATTTTGAGTTTTTGAGTTTATACAGTTTTTATCCAACTGCAATTCATTCCCTTAGAGGTGTAAGGGAAAGAATAACAACAGAAAGCACCGAAGTCATCCTGATAATACAGAAGAAAAGCACTTGTAATAAGCATTATTAAAATGTTGAATGTCGGTATGATGTGATTGTCAACATTTGCCACTTAGTGAAGTATTCCACAGATTCACAGGAAAGGATTTATTGTCCATTGAAATTTGATTTCTAATTGTGCTGCTTCTATTTTGTGCATGGAAATAAGAACCTGCAGAAATCATTAGGAATTTATTAAAGCAGAACTGGAAACTAACAATCATCTCCTCTCTCTTCATTCCTAGGTCATATATTTTTGTTGTCTAAATGATCACATAAACGTTTTGCACAAAATGAAACCACAGTAGTGGGTGGACTCAAGGAAATCTTTTCAGCATGTCCCAGTCACTGGGGCTCTCATCTTTGGTGAGCAGTCTAATTTCAGAAGTTCTCTTTGCCTCATTCAGAGCAGGAATTTGAACCAAAGCTGGTTACAAAACATTTAGGGAAGATGGTGGTTACAACCATTGCAGCACAGGAGAAAATTTAATTCCGATTTTATATGCATGAGATTTCTCACTCAATACTGCTGGGCAAGAGGAAAAAGATTTCTCAAGAACTTTGCCTGTCTAGCCCAGATTTTCTTTTTTGCCTAGTCAATAGTGTTGTGAATTTGGGCTATGCCTGCTATTGGTTTTGAGATGACCAAGCCTACATTTTTTGCGCCTTTAACATCTGTCAAAAAGAGAGTGAGGAAGAAAAAAAACAACCCCCAAAACAACGATTATCAGTTCCATGTATAATAAGCGGAATAGGAAAAACCGCAGACTACAGACTCTTTATTTTTCCATTATAATAGACTGTATGTTAAAAACCTTTGGGTTAGATTAACAAAAAAAGAAATGTAAGCATGTGCTTTTGAACTTGTCTTGTTTTTTTAAAAACTGGGCAACACGTTCACAAGAGCTTGTAGGAAATGTAAACTGCACTTGCACAGGGACAGCTGAAGGCCGTATGCCATAGTCCTGCCATGGTTCTGACTTGCAGCAGACTTCTTGGTTTCTTAGGCAAAGCAGTATAAACATATATATCACTGCAAACAGTTTCCATTAGGACAAAAGGAGTATTGTGTTGTCATCTTAGATTCTTCAAACAGTGAAATAAATCATCTGCAAACCTCAACAGTGATTCTGTCTGGCCAGTTCAAGAAAGGTAACAAATGCTTCCAAGGACATTTCCGTCTAGCCACAGTCAGCGAAAAGGATGGTTACTGACTGTGGAGAGGAAAAGTAAGCAGATAAAAAAAAGGTGTGCTGGAGGACAAGACAGAAATGTAGAATGACAACATATTTACAACTGAATGATCATAAATCTGGGAGAAAAAAGCCAGGACTGCAATTATCCTGCTTTTCTACCACAAAAGGGGAAAAAAATTTTGCAAGAACTATGTGCATATGAAAGGTTTAAAGTATCTTAATTACCATAAAAACTTAGGTAAAAGAAGATTTTCTGCTTCTTTTAGCTGAGGTACATGCATACCCATACTTTTAAACCCAAAATTAGGAATAGTCCTTCCTTCACCTTATCTAAAAATTAAATAATGTCCTCAAATATAATCTATTACTCCTATTATTTTAAATGCTGCCTTATTGCAGTACAATAAGTAAATATATTGTACCAAATTCCATTGTACATAAATATTTATGCAAATTTCTTCTCTGTAGCACTTTTCCAGACTTTAGCACTATTGAAGACCCCAAACTTAATGTACAAATATTAGTTGGCATTAGAACCTGCCTCCATCGAGTAACATTTTGAAATTCTCTGCTATTCTAGAGGCAGAGTTGGTGAGTCATATGCCTTGGGGGAATGCTAAATAAAACCCAATAGTACATGCTATTCTCACCCACTGTAGCAGACACATCAAAAAAAGTTACAAATAAGATGGGAGCTAGCATAAAATACCGCAGATTAGAAGTGATACGATCTGCAAGAAAAATCTTTCAACCTCTGAACTATAGAAAGACCATGGCAATGTAGTGAATAACTGTACTTCAACACGTTCAGGTCATAAGCTCTTTCTTTTGAACTGAGACTTAATTTAAATTGCTCATTTGTGTAATTGTGTTGTGAATACCTCCTTCCATTAAAAAAAAAAAATCCAACAACTTGATTGTTCCAAATAATTGCTTAGAGTGGTAGCCTAAAACACCTAAGGAAGGCATTTCAGTGTATCACTTGAATGCATTTTATGGGAAGAAGCATTGGCACACATAAACACAAAAATAACATAAAAGGCAGTTACTCTGAGCTATACATGACAGTAAAAAATCATTCCGTCACAACTCACCGAAGAAATGTTGTAAACACAATGGGAAGCCAGCACGATATTTTCCTTCCTGGATTGTCATGCAGTTCTTCACACGCTGTGGTTAGCACAGGGACTTGTAGCAGAGCATTTAAAAAGAGGGACTTCGCTGTAAAGCAGTGGACAGAAGGAGGAGTTGCAGACAACCAGAGTCCACTTCTTCGTTCATCTCTTAGTATTTCTTAGAAGGAGCGGTGGATATTTTACAACACCGACTTAAAATCTAAAGGAATACTACTAACATTACACAGCAAATCCTTAAAGGTTCGTAAACCCTAAAATTTTATGCCACAGTACAGTTGGTGGGTGTGATACACTTGCAGAGAAAGCCCCTATGATGCTGACTTCACCTATTTCATGTATTTCAGAAGTTTCCTGCAAGAAGAATACACACCCTTCGCTGCCTAGCGTCTCCTTTCATCAGCTTCTCTTTGCAATGGAAAGTGTTATGCTTTTGTGACACTAGAGTGCCTCGCTCATGGTTGCTGCTGGAATGGCAATCATTAGCTAAACAAATCCCTCTCTGGTCAGAGGAATACCTGAAAAATCTTTTAAGGCTGACTCCCCATTAAAGGAGCTGTAATGGTTTACATTGGTTCATGGTCTTGCTCCGATGCTTAGCAGACTTCTTATCCTCAAAGCTCTCCATTTATTTTGAGTGACAAAAAGGTGATTAAGTTCTGTTAATGCAGGATTCTAAGTTAATGTGAATTTGGAAATATTCCAAAGAATAAAAAACTCCTAACTGTCCTTTTTGGTACATCTACCGGCACAATGCAGAGACATTTAGGCTAGTCAAAGCTGGCTCAAGGCTGCATGTTAACATAGGTAAAGCCAAATTTTCTCTTGTCCACAAGCACAGAGCAACTTGTGGGAGCACAGTGTCACTGACGGCTTGCACCAAACAATTTCACCCTCCTCCTCTCCTCCTACCGGCTTCAACTTCACTAAATTTGCCACTTTGTGAAGCACTGATCTTGCCAAGACCCAGGCAATGACAGTAGCCAACAGCTGTATGAGATTGCAATAACTGCACAATATTTTTCACCTTTGCTGTTGAGGGAAGATAGGTTTCTTGCATCTGTATGGAACTCACTCTGGAGCACTGCTGATGTTGTATAGTAGTTGAAAGGGATGTTAGCTAGGAGGTAGCCTTCAGAAAGAGCAGCAAGCCTATTGCCCACAAACACCATTTTTCCTGCTCCAGCATTTCCAACAAGCATGACTGGTTTGCCTTTTATTAAGAGTAAATCAATAAAATATTTTAGACGTGCAGTTTCAGATGTGTGAACAAAGATTGCCTGAAATTGAAAAGAGGGAAAAAAAAAAAAATCAAACACTTGCACAACAGTTTAGTTTTAAAAGCAAACAGCTAAAAAGCCAGGAAACAGGATACACTGTTCTCTAGTTCTCAGACGTAATTACTGGAACAAAATGTGCTACTGGATTACTCTTTACACAGCATTTCTACTTGAAAATTTGTATTCAATTGCTTCTAGTAGGAAGATATTGAAACCAGTTTGTAGCTGAAATGCATTGGTTTCATCTCAACCTTTACAGAACACCAGTCTCCCAAAAACTGGTAGAGAAACAAAGGCTGGTGCAACAGGTAGTTGGTTTAATTTTTCAATTAGTATTTCCTTTTACTTTTTGGCCTGGTTTTCAGAATACATAAAACTGTTTGGGGAAGTAGTTGGCAACAGATTAGACTTACTTACTGTGAGTATCTAACACCATTGCCTGATAAAGCTTTCTTTTCTATGCTTTGTATTTTCCTACCAAATGTTAACCCTCAAAGGGAACTTGTTACAAGATAGCTGATAATGGATAATGTCTTTTGATCATCGCTCCATGTTTCTATGCCCACAACTTCTAACCTCCCCAGGAAAATTCCTACTCATCTAAGCATTTAAAAAGAAAAAGACCTACAAGTTCATGCAATCAAAACGCAATGAAGCATTTGAGAATATTCTATATGAAACACAGTGAAAAAGGAGCAAAAACAACCAAACCCCCAAACACAGGCAATTACAATAGCTCATGATTTCTATTTATCCACTAATACGTATCATACTATCATGACTTCTACAATTTGTATTCCATAAATATGGCTCTAACTCTGTAAGTGGATCAGGAGCATAGTGGAAAGGTGATAAAGTGATTTGCTTACCCTAGACCTCATACACTTCTGTTAGTATGAATGGAATTTAACTGGCAAAAGAACACCTGTGCATAAAGCTGGCAATAAAAAAATGTGAAGGCTTCAATTTGTGGTGTACTGTTGCTGTGGTCATTATTTTCAATGATTAGGGCCACAAAAATGATCAGAGGGATGGAACACCTCTCTTATGAGGAAAGGCTGAGAGAGTTGCGGTTGTTCAGTCTGGAGAAGAGAATAAGGTCTCCAGGGATGTACCTTATTGCAGCCTTCCAGTACCTGAAGGGGACCTACAAGAAATCTGGAGAGCGACTTTTGACAAGGACATGTAGTGATAGGACAAGGGGGAATGGCTGTAAACTGAAAGAGGGTACATTTAGATTAGACAGAAGAAAGAAATTCTTCACTATGAGGGTGGTGAGGCACTAGAACAGGTTGCCCAGAGAAGCTGTGGATGCTCCTCCATGGAAGTGTTCAAGGCCGGGTTGGATGCAACTCTGAGCAACCTGGTCTAGTGGAAGATGTCCCTGCCCATGTCAGGGGGGTTGGAACCAGATGATCTTTAAGGTCCCTTCCAACCCTTACCATTCTATGATTCTATGATTAAATGGACCTGGAGCCTGAATTTCTCCTACTGTAAAAAAACGGTATAAACCACTAACAAATTGAATATGGTATGTCTTCAGCAGTGCTTTTTTAAAAAAAAAATAAAATCAAGAAAAGCAGTGCTTGATCATTAATCCTCAACACTTGACTAAAGGCACGTGGCCCAGATAGCAGGGATTTATCCAAATACATCTAGAGAGTGTTACTTTCGGGGTATCAAAGAAGACATCAGAAAGGATGACAAGACTTCAAAACGTTCCTGCATGTAGCAATGCTCAGTGTGTGGTCAATGGTGTGCACTGTACCTATAGTGGGGCATCTGGATCCACAGCAGGACTTGGGACCTTATCCACCCAGGGTAGGAACTTCCTTGTCTCTGGATCAAGGTAATAATCGAACACTGTGCCCTGGGACGGAAACTTCACTGCCTTCATCTTCTTAAGCCACCAGCAGTTGAATTCAGCTTGGTAATTTGAAAGCTACAAAATGGTGCATTAATTGTTTACAGTATTATTTCCACATCAAGCCATTCATATGAAGCACGTATGAAAAACACACATACACATGTAGGTTGTGATGAAATAACTAAGAACATCAAAGCAATATCTTAGTATTGTCGTGGTTTAAGGGGCTAAAGTCAGGCCTTGTGGTAAGAGCCTGGGTTGAGTCCAGGTGTCAAGATGTGGACGATGGGGGGCTGCAGGGCAGCCTCTGTGAGGAGAGGCCAGGGGCTGCCTCATGGTGGACATGGCAAGGTCCAGCCAGCTCCAACTGACCCTCAGGTATAGGTGGGATGCTTCTGGGAAGGTGTATTCAAGAAAGGGCACAAAGACTGAGAAACAGCAGAACACCAAGGTCAGAGAAGGAAGAGGAGGAGCTCCATGCTGCTGGAGCAGACGCCCACACTGCAGCCCATGGAGAGACCATGCCGGAGCAAGGGTAAATGTGTACTGACTGTAATCCTCTGTCCACTTATGCTGCTTGGAGTGAGAGCGTGGAAGAATCAGGGGTGAAGGAGTGAGGCTCAGCTTGAGGGCTGGGAGTGGGAAAGGAGGAAAGGTTTTGTTTTAATGCTTGCCTTTGTTTCTCATTGCCCATATTCATTTTAACTGGCAACAAATTAAATTAGTTTTCCCCAAATCAAGTCCGTTTCACCCATGAGTATAAATGCTTACCAATCTCCCCATCTTCATCTTGACCCACACTTTAGTTTATTTTGTTCCCCTCCCCTGCCAAGGGAGTGAATGAGTGAGTGGCTGGGTGAGTGTTTGACTGTTTGCCAAGCCTAACCCACCACACATCCAGCCCAAATATTTTATTTCCTAAAACTTCTAAATTTAGTTTAGATTTATATAGCTGTGAGACTACAGGAATGACTTGCTTCACACAAGACCTTCCTAAGTATCTCCACAGAACAGCCAGTCTTTTTGAAGGATAGGAAAACAGATGTTAACATGATGTTGATGCAATAATGTATTGCTTCTGATTCTTCAACTTATTCAAGGTACTTCTTTACCTATGGATGACGCATGTACAAATTTGTTCCTTCACAATGACTTAATCCAATTTAAACAGCAGTAAAGCCAACTGTATTTTCTTAGTCTTTAATAGGGGAGTATGACTAGGTATTTCTGAAGAAATAAAGGTCTGTATAAGCCAAACACTGATAAGTAATTTTAGAGTTTTAGAGCTTTCTAGCATCACAACAAAAAAATCTCACTAAGGGGAGTGCATTATACTGCCTTGCTTATATCTACATTTCTCAGTATAAATCCAACAGGTGAGATTAAGCATACATCTGTGCAGCCCTTCACTAGATGCTTTAATGCTGGTAGACATGACCAACTGGTAACACTTCCCTGAGTAAACACAGCTTCTCTATGCATGTTAAATGACTCTGCACACAGTCTCGCACTGTAGGCAGTCAGCTCCCTCCGGTTGAGTTAGCTCATTTACAGATGAGCTCTGATAGCTAAAGTACACAGTACTACAGTTCAACAAATAAGACGCATGGGCCGTTGCTCTGCACCCCCATCAGTATTAGTGGGTGGAATCCTGCATATACATACACACACACATATACATGTATTTCTATCTGTTTAAGTATGTAGGTAGGTGTGTATACATATTATATCTGTTTTTCAAGCACAGTGAGATACTTTCATTAACTCACCTGGTCTTGAGAGAGTGCCCCACCAAATGCCCAAATACAAGCAAAGACAAAATACATCTCATAGAGCTCTCTGGGGCAATCCACTGGCACATTTTCAGGGGTCAGCAAACAATCCAGCAGAGAACAGAGTGTCTGCAATAAATAAATATGTGAAGACAGTGACCTGTGATTCTTACTCCATATGAAGGAGACAGTGACCTCAAGAAGGTATTTAAGTTTAATTAGTGAGACTACAACTCCTTGCTGTTCTTCCTTATTGTCTAGGAGCTCCTGTCAGAGGTCAAAGGCATGAAGAGGTCTTCTGATAAAATGTACCAAAATACCTTCATTCTGCACTATGCAAAGCAAGGTACATGAAGATGATGACAGAGTTCAGGTATGTACATTATGGCAAATTCTCAACACTCATACTCAATAATTAGTTTTCTCCTCTCACATTGACTTATTTAGAAGCAGTGAAACAATCAGAAGAGTTTAGAACGACAAGGCATATTAAGTAAATTTAAAATGTCAATGTAAGGCTTTGCAGTATCAGATCGTTTATATACGAAACAGAGCTCAGCTCCATTCTTTAATATTGTTTAATAATGTAGGGCCTCATTATCAGAGTATGAGAGTAACTAACGCTAATGAATTCAGTGAGCATTTAATTAGAAAGGGGCAGAATGCTTGTACAGAAAGATGAAATGGCTAGCCCTAAGCTACCTAAGACATTACTAACCAAAGATACACAAGAACTGAGAAGTCAGGTTATTTTGTGCAGTGCCATAAACACACCACATTTCTTCTTGTTACAGTGGACCATTGCAATATGAAACCTCTGGATCCCAGCAGGTCTCCAGATTAAGGGTCCAGGTTTGACATACAAGAGCCTCTCAATTTCATCTCATGTACTTTTCAGTTACACAGTAATTTTAAGCATTTTTACTCCTGCATAGGACCACATGCTCAATGGATGTTTCAGAAATACTCTTTCTTAAAATATGAATAGTTTTAATCCTACTGCGTACCTGAACCATACTATTTTCAGGAATAGAATTAACAGTTTTAAATCTTGTTCTGAGTTGTTCTAAATAGGGAGGCACATATTTATCAAAGAGAACAGTCAAGTTCGCCTTGTCAGATTGGTATCTCCTTGTTTCTATCCAGCTGGCAACGTACCTGCAAAACAAATTGGAAAGCAATCAATTTTTTATCAGAGAGAAGCTGAAAAAGTACGAAATTTCTTCCCATTTTGATTTGTTCATGCAAAGGTCATCATGCTGCTGGATTTCTAAGAGCCATTATGATAGCTAAGTACACTGGCATATACTCTTTTTTCTTGACTGCATTTTTTATTCCAAAGAGGGCAGGAAGAAAGGACCCAGATGACAGTTGGCTCCTGCTTTCAGAGTTCTCGACCACCTAAAAGCTGCTGGGAGCAAGGATTCTGTTTTGGTTTATGTTGTTTGAGAACGGACTACTTAAAATACCAGTGTTTAAACTGAACAACAGACTGAGGATTATGTGACACCCAAGTTCAACATAACTTGCATTGCAGATGTCTACAGCACTATACGTAACCCAGTCTGGCTGAAAAATCTGGCTACATGTAATTGAAGACAAAAAAGTAACCTTTCTCACCTGCTAGTTCCTATCACAACCAAGTCTAGAATTCCTTATCATTACTCTAACTACAGCACATGCTTCAGGTTAGCAGGCACATGCGTAACTGTCCATATTCCAAAGGATTAGGCAATTTTATCACCTGCTCGTGTTCACACAGTATTAGTCAACACAGTCTAAACTGATTATTTACTCATTCACAGCTATTCTATTTGGACAGTTTATTGCCTACTGTTTCCATCTCTACAATCCTCTGTTTACTGTGAGAAATCATATTGCCTCCATATGTCCTCACCAGTCCTCTGATCTTCATCCCCCTAGGTGGGCAGCTTGTACAGACTCATGCTGTTTAATTAAATTCTCCTGCTGACAAGATTTCTCTGGGAAATAAATGCACTGAAAGTTGCTTGTCCCAATGGCATACAACTAACACAGACAGGCAAAACTGAATGAAATGTTTAGAACACACTGGAATGCTGCAAAACTTAATTTTGACATGAAACAGCAGTAATGCTGCTTAAAAATAAAAAATTCGACAAATGTTAAAAAGATTCACTTCTTACCAAAATTCATAAGAACTGTTTTGGATTAGCTCAACAAACGCAAAAGGAAATGATCACATCGAACTGGTTCAAGTAAATGCATTGTGCCTTGACCAACTAAATTCCCTTTTATACATGGAAACCCATATTCTTTAAAAAATGTTGTTCTCATAATTTATTTGCATGAAGCATAGATGCAAAACAAGTTAGAAGAGCAGTACTGTGATCCAAAGGAGTAAGAGAAACAAAAAGCCAAGCTGATGTACACCAGTGCTCCTAACAGTATCAAAGATGGTGACTGTTAATAAAAAGCTGTCAGAGAACAGTAGCCAAGTTATTCACTACTTGCTACTGCCAAATTTGCATTACAAATCCCAGACAGTCGGTTCACTACTTGTATTGGGTTTGTGTGGCGAGGTTTTGTGACCCGCTGCTGGCCGAGGCCAAGCCAATCAGTGACGGTGGTAGCGCCTCTGGGGTACAGTATTTAAGAAGGGGAAAAAAACATTTGTGTAACGGCAATTGCAGCAGGAGAGAGGAGTGAGAACATGTGAAAGAAACAACTCTGTAGTCACCAAGGTCAGTGCAGAAGCAGGGGAAGGCAGAGATTCACCTGCAGCCTGTGGAGAAGACCATGGTGAGCCAGGCTGTCCCCCTGCAGCCCATGGAGGTCCATGCTGGAGCAGATATCCACCTGCAGACCATGGAGGGCCCCACGCCAGAGCAGGTGGATGCACCTGGAGGCGGCTGTGACCCTGTGGAGAGCCCATGCTGGAGCAGGCTCCTGCAGGACCTGTGGACCCGTGGGGAGAGGAGCCCACGCTGGAGCAGGTTTGCTGGCAGGGCTTGTGACCCCGTGGGGGACCCACGCTGTTCCTGAAGGACTGCACCCCGTGGGAAGGGCCTACGCTGGAGCAGTTCGTGGAGAACTGTCTCTTGTGGCAGGGACCCCACACTGGAGCAGGGGAAGAACGTGAGGAGGAAGGATTGGCAGAGACAACATGTGATGAACTGACTGCAACTCCCATTCGCCGTCCCCCTGCACTGCTCGGGGGGAGTAGGTAGAGAATTTAGGAGTGAAGTTGAGCCCACGAATAAGGGCAGGGTAGGGGGAAGGTGTTTTAAGATTTAGTTTTATTTCTCATTACCCTGCTCTGATTTTGACTGGTAATGAAATTAATTTCCCCGAATCAAGTCTGTTTTGCCCATGACAGTAGTTGCACAGTGATCTCTCCCTGTCCCCATCTCGACCCACGAGCATTTTGTGCTATTTTTTCTCCCCTGTCCTGTTGAGGAGGGGGAGTGACAGAGCAGCTTTGCTTGGCACCTGGCATCCAGCAGCCAGGGTCAACCCACCATGCTACTGCCTTGATTAATCAGTACATAAAGAGGGGAAAATTAAACACTTAACTGATGGTGAAATTTTCTGCACTGCATATTTGAGAATATACATAGCCAATGACTACATCACCCCACTATTATCAGAATAAAAACTAGAAGCAGAATTAATATAAATAATGGAGTCTATTCCCATTAATGTTCAAGATGTATCTTAAAACGCTAGATAGTATTATCAGATACTCAAAAATTCCACCCCAGGTCCTGGGTGTTCAGATAGAGAATACCAGCTCTGGACACCATAGCCAGGGTAGCAGCTCTTAAATGGTGTACCTCAAACAGCAGCCGCATTGACGGAGTCATAGGGACACGTTCATTACTTGTAAGGTTCAGGACCTAGAAATTATCAGTAAATTTTTCAGCAAAAACAAGCTAAGATACAATGTCTAACAAGAACGTGATCAGGGCAAGCATGTGTTTATTATAGCCTCACAACGGACAAAGAATTTTCTGTAACACCATGCACACATACTATTTTTTGAACGTAGCTAAACAAACTTTATTTGAACGTGGCTATATTTTTTTACTTCAGAAACACAGAGGAGGACAAATTCGAAAGGTTTTACTTGATTGTGTATGAGTTTTCCATAGTTTAATTCATTCAAACAACGACTAGCCTGCTTCACCAATGTCAGTTCTCCTGAAAGCTGCTAAAAGCAGGGGAGTTGAAGTCTCTGACAATGTCAATGGGAATAAATAGAAAATTATCCAGAGCAGGAGCTTAAGCTTAGGTGCTCTGAAATGTCCCTTGGAAAAGTCACTTTTTGTTCATTAGCTAAAGGTATGCTACGTGGCCAGCCCCTGACAGGCACCTTGCTGAGTAACTAGAGACTATATCACTAGACAGGTTTAAGATAGGAAAGCTTAAGAGAATGGGCTAAACTACAGTCACCTTCCTAAGGTTACATTAGATTTTAGATTTGGATTTCATTACATTATAGCATTTCAGACAGCAAACAAAATTGGTTTAGCTGTATAATTAACAAGAATGTAATAAGAAGTCTGGGTACTACTGCTAGTAGTTAAACTGATTTATTTAGATTTCCTAACACTAGCCTTCCTTACTACAGTGATACGCAGACTTCACTCATGGAATCTTAAATCTATTTTACCAAGAGGCTTGCCAAATACCAGTTTCAACACTCTTATGATTGACATCTTGAATTACATCAATTCATACACTAGGAGGCACAATCACCCTTACAGTATATGTAGGCTATTTTAAGCCTTTTAGTTGTGCAAAATAGGCAAGACAAAATGTGTTACTCAGATGCTAAAATATTACATTATAGTGAAACCCAAAGAAATAATAAAAGAAGAAAAAAAAAGAAGAAAGAAGGAGTGCACACTGAAAAACTATCTGCAGGAAAATAAAGGAAGAAGAAAATGCGAAAATTGGTAGAGGGGAAGCTACTGTATTTGATTCTCAGTTGCTCACCTTGTTATCATCCATAACAGTGTTAAGCGACTCAATCCACATAGGATCTATATCTACATCTAAAACTAACCATTTTGGCCTCTCATGAGTAGTATTAGCTTGCTCACTCAGAAGAGATGACAGGAGACCTGCAAATTGTATTTCAGTAGAACCCCATCACTTCAGTGCTTAAATAACAACTCTGCACAGCAATTAAATCTTCAGAAGACTTAATGCATCACTGAAACAAGAAGCTTTTGTAGCATGAAACCCATACTTTTTCCTTTGCTTGCTTATTAGATGGTTATTCAAACTAAAAATCAAAAATATTTTCAGTGAACACTTGATACAGCAAAATGACTGCATTTTAGGTAATAATGACCTATTTATGTTTTGATTAGCGGAGAGTATGTCATTAGTCTTAATGATGTGGACCAGATATGGGAGGGTTCACAGGTCTGGGGAGAAAATAACTCTCCCTTTAAGGCAGGTGAATTAGCATTATTCAGGCTAGTATTTATCTGTCTACTAGCATCCTGCCCTGCCTCCAGATCTTTCCATAACCACCAGTGCTCTGCATCCAAAACACAGAAAAATACAAGGATTTGATCTCTAACACCTTCTCCGAATTCTGGCATTGTCCATTTCTTATGGAGAACGATGCCACCAGAACTGATCCTAGTAAGAAGAACTGTGTGTTACTTGCCATCTTTCCATTCTCGGGTTGCATGGTGTATGAAACCACAGTTCACCAGCTGTCAGAGCTTTTGGGTTAAGGTCATTCCAAACAGGCTTTTGTTTCATGTTCATATATGTGCGATGCAGAATTTTCAGCACCTGAAGAGGAGGCACAGGTTGCACGTTAGCGATGCAATTTTGATACAATAGAAATCTTTGACTTTCTTCCTGAAATGGGTCTCTGCAAATCCCTGCACTCAGTCAACTGTTCACCTTCGTTTACTCACGGCCTCTGTGCTAGTTTAGCCCCAAACTTCCATTAAGCCTAAGGATAGGAAAGGAGAATCCCATTCTGAAATGGCTGTACTCCGCAATCAATCTTCTCCAACAGAAAGTGTTGAATGGGGAAGAAAATCCAGACAGCTGCCAACATTTAGTAGCAGAAATGGATAAACATTATCTATTAGAAGTGTTTGTCTAGTATTTTGGCAATATATTCCACTATTTCTGTCTAGAAGCCTAATTACACCACCCTACTTCTCCTTCCAGAACAAAGTATTACTTACTGTATCTGTCAAATTGAATGCTCATTACTTGGTGCCATGATTAATTTTCCTTTGGGACTTGCAAACAACGCATAAAATGTAGAATTTTCTTGTAACATTTAAGCCTTGCCATTGCACATTATGTGGTTGACTGGATGGCCTGAACAGCGTGTTATTACGCTGCAGCCTAAAGGCAAAGGCAACATGCAGAATGTTTTCTTCAAAGAACTGCGGCAATTTCTTTACAATGCAAGATAGAAAACATGCTGTGTTTGGTACCTTGCTCTTTCCAGTCCCTGCATTTCCTACAACACACACAGAGTGACGCACTGCCAGTAGCTCCTCCAGCTGAACAACCTACAGCACAGAAGGGATACACAGTGAATGTGACCTCTGTGGTCCTCTAAACAGACACACCATTATTCACAAAAATTATCTCTCCCTTGATGTTCCTGTTCCCTTTAACAGAATAAGCGGACTTACACCTTCTCAGCAGACTTGTGTCAGCTGAGCTGATGCTGCATCAAGCAACATCATTTATTTCCCAGTAAATGGGAAGAGATTTGGCTTAAATTAATGAATACAATTACCTCAGCAAGTGAGAACAAATCTTCTTCTGCTATACAGCCATACAGTCCAGTAGGATTGTGCCAGTCCAGGGATACAGAACAGTTACCACAATTTTGCCGTCATTTTAGCAGTGAGAATTCCACACTCAGTTGTGCAGCTACAATTTGATAAAATACAAAATCAGTCCACTAAAGAAACACATTTCTTCCAAAGAAATAGTTCTGTGAGCTGCAGAAAGAAAATAAGTTGGTTGTTTATAGACTTCTGTCTTAGTGAAGAGCATCCACACTGATTTTCTGAAATCCAGTAGGAACAAGTCCATGTTCCTCAGTGCTTGTCTTCTGATTCACCCAGTTAGCAGGAATCAAAATACTCTATAGAAGACTGATTGCAAAGTTCATAATACCCCAAGGTATAGCTTATTGTCTTTCATCCTTCTGCCAGGATAATGGAACAAGACAGACCACAGTAGAAAATCCTTAATAAATCCTGAGATTAATCACATTTAACAAGTTTGATTATTTCAGTTTCCAATATACCCTAATAAAGATAAGGAGCGTACTATCGCATACAGCAGATGTGGATGTTTCTTGAAGGAGTGTGGGAATGTACTTCTTTAGTAGTCCAAATAAGCACACTTTTTATTTGGTCCTTATACTAACCAGTGTTTCTAAGTTTCACCTTTTTGCGCTGTCTGTAATTCAAAATAAATTAGTGTTGAAATTTACCTTATAGACAATTAACCCTTATGAGAATACATGCATACATAGATGTACATGCATGCTCTTAATGTCTACAGCACAACATGCATTATATTATGCAGAAATACCCGAATGCACAAAAGTCACATGTCGCCACGTACATTCCAAATGCATGCCTTCTTATTTATATGTTTTTGCTCCCTTACTCTTCTTTCCTCCCTACAAATAATCGCCAACCATTAATTTGCTACCAAGTACAAATGCTTGGTACTGTACACAAACATGTTTGTCAGCGTAGACAGCTTTTTTGAATAGGATATGTGCTTCCTTAGGGACGTATTTATCACATTGAGGTGCATTACTGCCACGACAAAATGCCCTGAAAAACTGAGACACTGAGGACACCTTATCAATACTGTAACATACTCAAAAATAACCTTCATGTCTAATACAACCCACTTGCAATTATTTTGACTGAAACTCTTAACGGGAGTAATTAAAGGCAATGAATTCTTTTACTTTGAGAATAAAGGTCTCTTCAGGCTGCAAGAGCCGCTCCAGGGTAGATTGTTCAACCATCTGTTCAAATTGTGCATTCCTCTTTCTCAGAACTTCCAGAGCTAGAAACAGGTCACTGATCAGGCCCGTGAAAAATGGGAGATCATCTGTCACTATTTTAGGCAAATTGAAGTCTCTTAAGGCTCGCAAAAGCACCTGGAAAAGGATGGTAAAACACACATTGCAAGAACATTAAATCCTTCTCTTTTTAGGATTCTGTTTTTATTCAAAGGCAAAACATCAGAAACAGCTCCTACTCTTAGATGCTTTTAAGTGAAGATTTTACCTGATCCTCAGGTCTGTTCTATCTCCTTGTTTCAGTGAGCCAGCAACTACCAAAACTGACTTGATAGAACGAAGTCCCCAGTCATAATGGTCCTGTGAAAACATTTTAACTAGTCATGTCAGCACAGGAGATAAAACTAAATGTTAATGTTTAAGAAGAAAACAATCTGTTTACACACAAAGTAACACCTTTTCATTCTGTTGTAGTCTTGCAGTGGTTTTAGGCCAGTGTTAGAAGTCTACTAAAGAAAAAACGCAAGAGGGTGTATATCTATTTAGCTTTTAGTATTCCAGCACTTTGATCCCTATTTTTAAATGGTAAAATTTGCACCACCAAGTATTATTGTATTCGTTGCAACTATACCTCCATGATGAAACAATGCAAGCTAAAAATTGCTGCCAAACTTCTGCTAATGTGACCTGATACTAGCAATACTTTTCTGTTTCCAGAAGAGAAGACTGGACTGACCATCAACATATTTTACAACCAGCTCCAACACCAAAATTAAAGGAAAAGAGAACCAGACCGCTAACTCGGCCTAGAGGAGAAGCCTAGAAACATCTGGTAAGTGAAGGGCAGAGAAAAAGCCTGTCTCTTCGCCTAAACCCTGCCAGTGGGAAGGCAGATAACCAAAGCAGAAGGCACAACTTTTTCATCACACATAGGCTCTCCAAAACCTCATAGAAATAGAAAGAAAAGGAGTTTGAAATATTTTGGAGATTTAAACAATTTGAACATCAGCAGCTTGTATGCCAAAGTTGCAATGGCTGAAGAGGTCTACGATGAAGTTACCACTCTCTAAATTTAAGGCTACACCTACACTTAACGGTGTTCTTCCAGCTCACATAGAGATTCCAGACAGCTAATTCTGGTATAACCAGCAGTGGGACCAGCTACTACATGAGCAGCTGGGTAAGTATGTGGATAATCAGCTCCTCTCTGACCTCTGTGTGGCTGCAGCCAAGAGTTACATGGCCACTATCTCCTAACGTTAGCATGCATCACATCCCTTATGGTGGTCTACAGTTTCCTTCATGTGCACACACTACCCCTCCTTCAATTTCAAAACTCCATCTGAGGTTGCAACTACTCTGCTGTCACCAGCCAAACTGGCTACCAGTCAGATAGGGTTTCAGAATATCAACTGCAGAGACACCTATGACTTCAATATAAATACAGCCTAGCTGGTATCCTCATATACACAAAAAAAACCCCCAGCAACAACAAGCCCCTCCAAAAAATAAACCCAAAACAAACCCCAAAAAAGGGGAGGGGGCACAAAATCAGTAGCAAACCTAGACGTTAACAATATGCAATTTTAAAAAGACGTCATGATCACCTTCCATGATATTGGCACTCCACAACTGTGGATCAAATGCACAAAATATATCATAAAGAAGAAAAAATAGGGAAATATTCAACCTCAGAACAGTTCATCATCAGCAAGAAAAACTGCCATTTTTTTCTGAGGTACTAAATGTGCTGAGCATCCGCAATGAAAATGAGTCTCCACGTTTTATAAATATTACACCTAGGCAAAGAAGTTAAACATGGAGACGGTTAGGAAAATAGAAAAATTTGGAAACATACTGGGCGTAGAGAGCTTTTGCTTAGATTTAGGTAAGATATTTTTTGCTTTCCAAAATGTTGTTTGTTTGCTGTCTGACGGGTTGCTAAAAAGCAAGCTATGCATCTTTACAGCAGCCTGCCATGTGGATTGTCCGCTGTACAAAGACTTTAAGACATCCAGGCCATTTACCATGCCATGACAGGACCGGAAGTCCCTTCCTTCACAGCGTATGATCCGAAAGCCCTGACAACCCTGTTCGGAAGCAGTTTTCATTGGCTAGGATCCTAGTGCCTCCAAAGGTATACTGAGAGCCCTAAAAGCCCCAACACTGGATCAATATTTTCAAAGCTCTCTGAACTGCTGTATATTTTCTGCAGCAGCCCAGAATTTTAGTCAAATGGATTTGATTTCTCCCATTTCCATTAAAAGTATAACAAATAAGATAAGAAATAATAAACAAACAAGAACATTCTAGGTGTTGCTTCAAACTTCAATATTATTACTACCATCATTAATATTAAAACAGCAAACGATTGTACAAGTGATTTTTCTGAATTCAGAAAATGACTCCAGGACAAAGTAATCAGAGTTGAGGAATGTCCATTCTAGTAAAGCAGACAATATTGCTGTCTTAAGATATACAACATTCAAATTCATTATCTCTAGAAACATTGCAAGAATGTGTCAGGAAAACTTCAGGATATTAAGAGATAATTTCAAAATTATGCAGGCATGAAAATAAAGTTGCTTTTGCTTTCATAATGGCCCTACTTGTTAGAGTTTATGGCTTAAGGTTGAAGGGTTCTCAGAGTTCTTATGCCGCTAATAAACCTGAATATTAAGAAAGCGTTGTGAAAAATTATACACTTGGAAATGTGTAAACAGTATACGTATGGGGAAGAAATTATAAACCTTCCAAGTCTTATAAGTTGTAGATTTTTAAGATAAATATTCTGAATGTGAATTCTTCCTGGTATAACAATTAAATTTTTTAGCAGTGCTTTATTTCCATTTTTCAAACAATTCTCCACTATATTCACTGGGGAAAGCTTAAATAAACATTCATCCAATTAGAATATGCTATTTGTTATTCATAATAATTCTTACTCTCCTTTAAGGCTTTTCCCTTCTCTAACAGATAGTTATATTTCTAATATAGATAGTACACAACAGCACGATGTAGTTCAGCTATCCCAGGTACAAAACAGTGATAATATAATTTTTAATGCATAATTAATGCATTATTAATGTCCCAAGATCAGACTAAAGGGCACTTTCTCCTAAATTCATATCTGACAATTTCATAAGGATGAGTATGTGATTTAAAGTGTCTTCAAAATAACAGATAAGACTATATACATACCCTCCACCCCCCGTAATTATACAACGTCCAGCAAGCACTGTTTCCAATTAAGTATGTGCTAATTAACATGTACCAAACCCAGAAGCCCAAAGAGACCCTCACCTGTATAGAAAGCAGCTCTCTGCAGAGAGAACACAAGGTAATAAACTTCCTGGCTAATAGGCGTGCATCAATAAACCCTTCAGCAACCAACATAATTTCACAGATCAGTTCAATGTCAGGGACAACCATGGCACAGGGTCTAAGGAAGAAAACAAACCCCATAATCCAAATACACAGATCAGTATTTAAACATTGGAAGAATAAGTCACTTAAATGACTGGTGTGTGCAAACATTTTTAAAAACAGAGGTCAAGAGAGTCACAATTAAGAGTGTCAGTCAAAGCTAACAAGGACCTTACTTCAAAGTAAAAGGAGCTAATTAGGCACTGTTGATTGTTGGTATTCAGTAACATCGCTGTACACAAAGGAGGCAGCTGGGAAACACAGGGCCTGCGAGACAGGTACTGCCGAAACTCGGAGCGAGTATGGTCTGCAGCGGTGTCACTTGCCATCAACAACTGGAGGACACTGCCAGCAGCTGTACGGGGTCTGGAAGTCAAATGCAACACCTTGCCACTGCTAAAAATGCCATTATTTTTAAAAGACTTCGATTTTTTGAGGGCTTTAATGCTTTTATATGAAGCTACGGTTGCCTCTGGAAGTTTCACTGTTTGTTTCTTTTTTAAACAGAAACTTTAGTTCAAACTTTTATAACAAAACCACAGCCATGATATAAATAAGAAAGATCTCCAACTAACAAAGTAACACAAAGAAATAATGCAAAAGCTAAGCAATTTCCTCACTAAAAATCACTACTTAAGTTACATAGTAGCAGAGAAGAGATCTTGAATTTTGTGTTCAGGTCAGATACAAACCAGCAAATTTGGCCCTCAGAGCACTTCTGTTACTACTGACAAATACAAATACTTATTTTGTTCCCCATTCATATTTAAATATGACAAAATTAAGGCTAGTGATTTACTGCAGCAGTATATTTCACACAGAAATCAATATCATATAGTCCAGAAAAAGAGCCAGCACCCCTCTGTTAAACAATTTTGAAGTAAACTATTCCCTAAGCACCATTTCTTCATAAGCCAAAACAAGGTCTGCTATAAGCATTGCAGCCAATTATAAAAAATTATATGCTCCTCTGCCTACCATAACCAATAACCTTCTTGCAAACAGAATAGCTTGCACAAGAAATACCAGGCTAGTAGTATTTAATATATCTTCTCTCCCTTGTGAGATCTGATTAGGTGACAAATACAAGGAATTAATCCTTCATCAGTTACCTTTCCTTTCCTGTGCATTGTACAATGGCTAAGAGCTATTACAAACATCAGCTACAGGGCTGAATTCCTGAGTCTCAAATGCTCCAAAGTTCAAAAGTTCATACTTTAATTCCAAAGGCTTTTTATTTTTTGTGACAATCAAGTAAAGGTAACACTTCAGCTCTATGTAGAAAGTACATTTTGAAAATTAAAAAAAAAACAACAACAAAATGAACAACAAAAATAATAAATGAACAACAAAAATAAATCACATGCATTTTCCATCCTCTGGTAGTCCACTGATAGATGAAACACCTGGTAGCAGCAGGGAGTGATCCCTCCTGCTCTCTCGTCAAATACCACATCTCGCTGACTGTGGAAGACGCAGCTGCCAAGGCAGCCAACTCCGTCTGAACGCAGAAAGGGCAGATGGGTTCCCCATCACCTTGTCCTCCCTTGAGCGAGGTTCTGCCCAACATCGTTCCCTTGGTGCACACCAATCCTGCTTTGCCTTGAAGGGATCTTAGGTGGCAAATAATGAGAAGGCTTGGTAAAGCAACAGCTAAGTTGCGAAATATTTAAAAAAAAAAAAAAAATCACACATGCGGGGAAGCAGGATACATCTTTCAGGGTCTCCCTCCAATGTTTGCTAAGACGCAACTACAGGGTCTTACTCAGCAACAGTCTTTGCAGAAGCACACGAATTCAAATCCTAACCTCCTCCTCCTTGTAAACAGATGTTACTTACTGCTTGTTATAAATGATTGTAATTTAGGCTGAAAGAACAAGGAAGCTAATTGCTGCTGCTGCCCGGTCCTGCCATCTGAAGCAGCATGTTTGGCTGACAAGAGGATGAGACGCGCCCGAGCAAACCGCTTTCTAACTTTAGCAGACTTTGTGTCTTTCTGCAGCGAAAGCATGAAGCAGTGTGGTGTCAGGAATTCCATGGCTAAAGCAGAAATCAAACACACCAAAATCTTGATGTACTTTTAATACAGAAAAAAGTACTACCTGTGTTTCAACTTGCTCACAGAAGCAACAGTGATGCCTGGTTCTGCCCTAAGTTTCTATATTTTAAAAATCAAAGGGATTTACTGCTCAGAGAAGCAGATCCCAGATAGCACGTCCATACTTGTGCCTCCCCAAACAGCCTGGCAATGCCTTGCACCTTGCCCCATTGAACTGCAATATGGTGAGAAATGAAATTGCAGAATTGTTTTTTTTCCCGAGTCTTGATTAAATCAGTGAAAAGTGTTAATGCAAGAGCAAGGACTTCAAATGACAATTCTTTTTTTAAGCAAGTCCTGCACCATTTAAATTGAAGAATATTACCACGTAGTTCGAAGTCCACTTTGTTGGAATAAACTGGCATTGTTTTATGGCCCATCATGCCGGAGCAACCACTTGTGGAATTAATTCACTCTCAGAAACACCATTTCAATACAAACTCACCGAGCACAGCACACAAAATACAGTCAGATCTTTTAAATTCAAAACTTTCTTCCTTGAAACATTAGAGTTAACATATAAACCACAAATACTTACTTTAAGATAATGGGCTGTCCTACAGTGTCCAAAAGCATATAAAGTTTTTTGCTGTGCACTATACTTTTCACAGCTTCTAAACAATCACAAATCCAGTATCTTACTAGGTAAGAGTATGCAGCTTGATTTTCAACTGGTAGTTATGAAACACCTATGAACACATGCGCGCCTACACCCATGGAAGAATGGGATAGCTAGATAGTTTTCAAATAGTCATTTTACTAGGTCAAGCCAGCTATAAGGATTCTTATTTATCACAAAACAGTGAATGTTCTTGCACATATTTAAGTACATTCTTTGTGTTCACAGGTTGCTTTAACATTTTGAATAGATTAAAAAAAAGTCAGATACAAATTTAATTTCCCCTGTCACTAGGGTGTATAGGGATGCACAACAGGAATATTGATTTTTTCCACAGAAATTCTGAATCAAACACAAATTGCATCTCACTGCAAACCAAGGCTAGTAGCATTAGGTGACATATGTACTCATAAGGGTAGACTTGATATACCTGTATACTATAAAAGTACACTACAGCATACTTGCCTGAACAGAGCTTTGAGATTTTCAGGTAGTTCTGTCCGACCTGGGTTCATGGTAATAAATATTCCAACTGATGACTTCAATGTAATGTTTTCACCAAGGAAAAAAAAATCTGTTGTAAGAAAGATAACACAAAAGTTTTACAGTTTGATTAGATGTAAAGAACTGCATCATACAAAGCCAGCCATCAGGGGTCAGATGACAAAGGCGCTTCTGGGCCTGGATCCTGTCTCACACAATGGCCAAAAGCAAATGCCCAAGAAAGTTCACTAGAGCTGAGCAGAGGTGTTTTCCTTGGTAAGCACCAGCTTTTAGTAAACTGTGGCTCCTCTGGCCAGCACTGAGTTTGGAAGGAAAAGACTGGACTGTCAGAGCAACGAAGAGTGCATATGGCTGAAGTATGTCTATAGGAGGAATTCTCTTTTGAAACCTGTAGAATAAATGAGATTTGTAAGGATGCAGCGGGCTTGGAAAGGCCAGGAGAAAGCACTAAGCAAGCAGAGAAAGAACAAGGGACAGTGTAAACACAAGGCCTGTCTCAAAAGCACTGGGAAATCCTGGAAACCTTGAGACTTCTTGCAAAGTTGAATCCCACCAAACTCCTCACCCCTATGATGGAATGATTTCACATGGTGAGACTTGAACAGAAGCAGAGATTCAACCGCAAAACTTTAACTGGATTGTTGTAGGACCAGCAGTTCACTCACATTTATTGCTACATTTTGAAGAGAAAGTTATTTTAAGGTAGTATATTACACAGGTGATTTAGTGTTACCATCTACTCCCTCATTGCATTTACAAAGGGTTTCAGAGGAACTTTGCAAGAAGATTTTATTGGCTCAGTATTTAGAGCCTGCAAAGGACAATAAAGGACCACTGCTAAAATACTAATTTCTTTTTCTTGTTCCTAATGGCATTGTGTATAGTCCTGATTTGTACTGCCACCACTGACAGAACTTCTACCGAGATGTGACTGAATTCATCAAAGCATCCCCAGGCTCCTGTCTGGACCAAGCCTTTATAGATATTCCATACAGACTAGAATAAAAAGTGAAAGATTTAACATAATTTTCTTGAAAGCAATGATTTCCAATGTACTTCACATGAAAAAGAAACTGAACAATAATTTCCATACTGCTTAGCAGAACATCTCACCTTGTAATCCATCTGCTCGGAACAGTTGAAGACGTAAACCATCATACCAAGGGCACGGCCTAAATCTTTGGTGGTCTCTGTTTTACCTGTGCCAGCTGGTCCCGCAGGAGCACCGCTTATTGTTAGGTGGAGAGACTGGGTTGGAGTAATATAACACTGGAACGTAAGCAAAGTGATTGTTAGCATTGCAAGGAACATCTGCAATGTTGGGAGGCTTTTTTCAAACCTTACGTTTCATGGGTGATTTATTCAGAGTCCACTTTCTCATTAGAATTTGATGTCCTAAACCACAAATGTACCTCTTTCACATTCATGTAAAATTGTGATGTGGCACTACTTGGAAAATGCTTATTTTAGACATGAAAACCAACCACATCAACATTTTTTAGCAAGAAGGAATATCTTATCAGTGGTCACACAAGACAGGAAACAAGAGGCTGTAGTGGCCGCTTTGCCTATTTAAAAGACTTGAGCCCCAGAATTGTCCCAGTCAACTGTGGGCCATAAGCACTAAGCTAGACAGGATTGCTGGGTACATCTTTTTGGATCATTGATTTTGACATGAAATTCCATTCTGGAGTCAAAATATTTCCACAAAAGAAGCTTCATTGTATGTGGTGTGAAAAAAGTAATAGTTTGGACACACACAAAAAAATAATACTCTTGCTGAAAACTCCTGATTAACCTTGGTATATATACACTCATATTCTTCTTCAGACTAGACACTGAACAGATACATTAAGTTATGCAAGAAATATTTCAGTTATTTTAGAAGTAACGGACATTAAAATCACACCATTACTTAAGTATGCACACCTACATGCACACACATGCTCAAATATATTTTGTTTTAATGACGTAATAAAATACAGATGAATTATGAAAGAATACTGAACTTCTAAAAAACATTTAACTTTTTATTCATTGAAACAGATAAAGCAGACACTGTTATTAGTAACAGTCATTACTTGTCAGTCAAAGGTGTAATAACTAGCCGAGGGGTATTTCCCAAGTACTCATAAAAGTACTGAAACTGAGCATCACAAATGTTGGCAAAACAGTGTTTCTGGGCATTATCCCATCTGTGGCGTAGCTGTTACAGCCAAGCAAAAGCTCGGGAACTGGTGACCTAAAAAGCCATTGCAGAGCCATCAGGCCAGGTAGGAGCTCTTCAGATGAAAGAAACAAGACCCATGAGACAAAGCTACAGCTGTCAACAGTAGGGCTCACACCTCATTCCCAGTCATTTATGAATAATAACTACTACTACCAATTCTAAAGGCTTAGACACACCTCGAGGCATTTGTGCTTTTATACAGATGCAAATGTAATAAGATCTTTTTAATAGAGCTATTACAGCAGAACACATTGCCACTTATTAAATCAAGACCTCTCCTTACAAACAATGCAGTCTTTGCCTGGGAGCAGACATTACTTTGACCAGAATGAGTTTCATTTAACTCTCAAGCCTTGTTTCTTCTTATCTTCATACCATCTTAGAAACCCATTTTATTTCTGAGGCTGAGCAAGTCAGAAGGAAAATGGGAATTCTTTCCTATTTCAACACCCATCCAGTGAAACATTTTGTGCATTCAAACCAGCAACATGTGCCAGCCACCTTAGTGTTACCTGAACAATTTTATACATAGGGCGAGCACTTTGGTTTAAATAATCCTCCAAAATGGTAATTGCATGCACTTGTAAAGAGTCACCCCAGGAGAAGAGTGCCTTGCTCTAGAGATGCACGTGTATGCCTCTAAAAGGAGAGCAAAAGCACACTGCGAATGACTGAAGATGGAATAATTAAAAGCAGAATAACTAAAGACATTTGAAAAAAAAAACCACTCCGATTGCCCAAGGACTCTCTGCACTCAGTTTTGTGATCTGAAATTTAAAGGAACGATCTGGCTGCTCGCAGAAAGCCTACTAAAAGCTTGAAGAATTCTCAGAAGTAAGGTAAAAGTTGACATCTGACTTTTTTTAGGCAACTTTTAAATTCATAAAGCAGTAGCCCGTAAAAACACAGGCAGGGCACACAGGTCTGAAGCAGGCTGTCTTCATGATTATAAATACTCCACCTCCACTGTCCTAGTGCCCACATGCAGATTCAGACTCAAACTTGGCTTAATTACTATGAAGACCTGTCAAAACCACTAAAACTGTGCATGTAAAATATAGCCAATCCAAACACATTCCTTCTGAGCTACAAGGCTTGCTACAACATCTCTAGCATCAACATCTTATGGTGCAAATGGTCATGATTTTCTGCCGATCACCTGAGGAAGCAGCACAGTAATACGAGCATTTAGCTGAGTGACCTGAAAAGATTTAGGTAACCCTCTAAGACCAGATGGATCCTACTACCATGTACTATTATTGCTACTAGAAATTAGTTCTGTCTACATCATTAATTATATCACTACAAAAAACTGGCTTGTATATACAACTTAACTGATATTAAACATGAGATGCCAGAAGAAATCCTCGTGTAAACAGATATTGAACCACCTCCAAAACAATGACAGTCCAGATGAGCACAAATACTGAAGACTGTCAGCTAGGCAGGGTAGGAGGAATGGACAGATAAGAAGATGTGCATGAAGCTGAATTGTAAATTTTGTTGTTACAATCTCCATAGAGATATGCACCAGACTCTGTAAAAATTGTACTAGTTGCATGAGAACAAATAGACTTTAGGAAAGATCAGCGACTTACATTTTAAAAAGAGGCAAAGCAATGGTGGGAAGATCACAAAATATGATATGAACGATTATACAGTTACATAGTAGAAAGACCCAATGCAATTTTTCAGGTTTCATATTAATAGGCAAGAAAAACAAACAGTTACTGCATGTAATTCTAAGGAGACAAATGTAACTTTTATTAGAAGTATATAACTTATTGGGTAGCTAGTGTGAGACAGAACTATGCTTGTACATGTTTTAAAACTCTGGCTTAAAAATGGGTGGTGCATTAGTGAGACCTTAAACACTACACTTGCTGTATTGTTTTTACATTATATACAGAAACACCTACTGGTGCTGTGTTCACTAAGACACAGTTAAAGGCCCAGAAGACAATACTCCATGCTAACAAATTATTTGAGAATCACAGTCTAAAGCCTTAACAGGTTTTGAAAACGCTTACAAAAAATAAACCAGAAGGTAATTTCACTGGACTCCCTATTTTTTTCTGTATCATATCATAAAGGACATATCAATAGCAACATTCTCAACAAAACTGTCTAGCAACCTGAAGTATTTATGTCATCTTCCTTTAAACACATCCAAAGCTCCACTTCTTTATGGCAGTGAGGTGCCATCCGCAGAGAGGTTCAGATGATCTTTCTTAGTTCACTCTTATTACAGCAGAACCACTCCAAAGTCCCCACCGCAGGCTGAGGAAGCAGCAACAGCAGGAAACAGTGCTCTGCTCTACTGGCAAGGTGACCACAGAACCACAGCCTGCTTGGATTACATAGAGGTTCATCGCGGACCTGCCTCTGCCTTTCACAGAAGCTAGAGGAGATTGCTTTGAAACAACCAAAAGGAACATTAAAAAAAAGTACAGGAGAAGGATATCCTGGGAACACGTGACAAAATTTGTCTCAGACACAGCAGAGAGAATTTACAAAACAAACAAAAAAGAAGCAAGTCAACAAACCCAAATCCCCAAAACTACGCTACCTATTTTAACATCCTATTTAATAGCCATGAACTGGACTGAAATTTGGCTAACCCTTCATTTGACCTTATTTATACTTCTGTCATTCTGTAGCCAAAAAGTTCTGTATTTTAAACTGTACATGGTGTGAAAGTATTTCTTTTATTTAAGTCTGCTACCTAATACCTTCAGGTAGTCCCTATTAGCTCTTATGAGAAATGTCAAACAAAGATTAATCTTTATCCACCTTCTCTATTACAGGGGTAATATTAGACACCTCTATCAGATTTCTTTCCCCGATAAGTCTCTTTCATATTTCGTATTTCCCTTCAGTAGATGTTCTAGGTTGGAAAAGAAAACTGAAATTACTTAAGAGTTTTCATGAAGAGAAACAATATTCACATCAGGAGAAAAAAAATTCAAAAGAAGCTGGAGGTAAACAAGGGCAAAGCAAAAATCAAACTGCAGAAGGAAACCCTTCTGAAATGGGACTACAATTGATAATATTAGAAGTAAAATGTTTGGTTGATTTTAAACCCACCAATTTTGTCTTCCTTACACAAATATGTGTTTAGTATCTTTATATGTACTGGTTACATAATCTGTTCTTGTCACACCATCATGGCTGAAGTTTGGCAGTATCTTTTCTTTTACCTTTCATCTCAGTTCAGAATAATTCTACAGAAACCCCAGCAATTAAGATGCAATAACAATGCCCATGAGATAACAGAAATGGAAGAAAAAGGTGTATTTCTTTTTTGAGTAGGTGCTACCAAGACTCTATCTTTTGAAGGCAAAAAAACCCCACAACCGTGCATAAATTTATGCATGTAACAAAAATGGTACATTTTATAGTAACAACATAGGAAGCTTATCTCATTAGTCTTAACAAAGGATTTTCTTTATGTCAACATTCTTCACAAACTTGAAAGGAGAGTGGGTTTTTTTCTTCCTTTTTCTCTCTCCTACTGCCTCTTCAGTAGGATTCTGCTCAGAAGAGCCCTTCCTGTTACTGAGATACCAGACATTGTTTTGGTTTACATATCCATTTGACTTGAAGACATAGGCATACTGTCCTAGAGCTCCAAATATCAAAGTCTGAAGTTTTTCTGTTCACAGACACAGAATAAACACAGACAATACAGTCTTTCCTATGTCTTTATGCACTCAGACATAGCTGTATCTTGGAGAAACTCTAAGAGGCAAGCTGCATATATTTGTTCGTTCACTCTGGGGCCTCCCTGCTGAGACAATCAATCATTAGCACCACATGCAACATTGATTTTATGCAATGTGAATGCTTATCCATTCAGCACTGTTCTGAGAACAATAAGTTATTGTCTCAGAAGCTGCTGATCTGTTCTTTCTGACCTACCACTACCCAGTTAGCACACATACTCGCTGGCCAATTAGCAAATATGAGGCTCAAAACCAGCTAAAGCCCTGTTCAGCTGATAGGGGATATGGGAGAGAGCTGGCAGTCTGGAGAGTTGTGTGCTAAAGGATAAGAGAGAAGGGGATCTGAAAGTATAGTGGAAGATGAAATAAAAGGGCAGAACAAGAGAGGAAGTATTAGAAATGCAACATTCAACCATAGACTTCATCAATTCTGTGGCTTATAGTTCTTTTTTTTTCCTTTTCATTGCTCCTAAATATTTAACTCGCTACACTTCTTAAAAAAACCCCAACACTTACGTACAAGGGGCAGCCAGTAAATGTATTAAGTTATTGGCTCATTACACAGTTTTGGGTCACAAAACATTCTGAAATTTTGAAAAAAACAGTTTTCAGGTTTTTTAATTATTATTTTTTCTAAATTTACATTTTTAAAAGCAGCATTTCATGCTACTGAAAGTGTCTATTTAATCTACATCCTAAAGAGGGCAAAATCCATAAAGGATATTTCACATAACTCAACATACCTGACCACTGCATCCACACTCTTCATGGAATGGAACATAGTCCTTTTCTCTGCTGTACATCCCAAGGGCAGCATTTCTAGATTTCTCTATATTCTCTTGAAATTCAAGATCAGCAATGTTGTCAAAACGTTTGGTGAGATGATGGGTCACCTGCACCCAAAAATACCAGATGTATAAGGAAACCATTTACCTTAGATTTGTGTCAATCATACTACTTTAATGTGTATTTCTATTAAAGTGGATGACTACCACGCTAACATTTGCTACACATAATAAGATTTGGCATTTCGGCAAAGTTTAACGCAGTTCTTCGCATCTAACTGGATAATGGGAAGTCTTTGCACTAATCTTACAATTGTGTTTCTTATTCTAGTGCTTCCAGCACTTCCATAATGCCTCTATTGACCTCAGCAAGATACACTGAATGACCAGGTGATCAGTCAGCATTCCTTACATTTTAAAGACAATAAAAAAATTAACCCTTTTTTTTTTTCCATAGTATTAGAACACTTATGCCAACCGAACAAGTAAGAACAGTACTTCTGATTTCCCTGGTGGCGCAGACTGACACGGCAACACTATCTAATCATCCATGATCACTACACAGGAGGTTTTTATGGGAAAAGCTGGGGGTCACAGATAAAGTAGTGAAAAATTCTGCAGGACAAAGATAGCTCAATATAAAACTAAGAAGTCTTGAAATTTTTGTTAATTATGGCTAGTGCTTATTTCACGAATTGACAGTTCAGGTCCAAATGTCTTGTGTAACTACACACCTCTACAAAGACCACGGACTTTGAAGATCACTGTCTACACACCAGTATGCTCTATGCCTGACAACTAGAGCAGAAGATTTGTTTGGTTGCCCTTCTTATATGTGGTGTATAGCAGTGAGTGGGTGATACAAATCACTGAGATTTAGTTACATGAAGAAGCTGTGAGACTCTACCACCATGTTTGAAAAGGCTCAGTGTTCAAGCCTCATAAGCTTTTCATCCTCTTGGAAAGTATCAGTTCTTCTGTTACATGTCACACTGCATCTAAAAAGGCTTTGCCCGAGACACACCAATAACTCTAGCACTCAGAGAATTAATGGCCATGGCTGGATAGTCACTGAGGCCAGGAGTATCATCTGGCATGTAGATAACATAGTATAAAGCTTCTGAAATACATCAAAGTGCCTGTGCTGTTACACAGATTGGTCTCAAAGTGTCACAAAACCTAGCAGATTATTGTTCAAGGGAGGAAAACAGAAGGATGGCTACAAAAAAACAATGGTCAGCAGCTCAGTCAGTAACAGCCTAACAGAGACCATCGAACTTTCAGTCTTACTTATCATCGCTACGCGTAGCATGCTTGAAATTTCATCAGTCCATGCCAGAAAAATAGATTTGATGATCACATTGACCTTTTCCATTTCTATTCCTGCAAATCTACAATCCAAAAATCCACATAAATACAAGCTGCACATGGCTAAATTTACAGCAAGTGAGAGCACAGGATTTGTAACACTTCTCCTCAGAGCGATGGTTTCATCTCTCCTTGCTGAACACCTTGTACTTGTCCTAGCTGGGGAGAAAAATGTTAACTACCTCCTTTACACAAAATGTTCCTATTTGTAAAGTAAATTAACCCTCAGAAAAAAAGGTGTAGTTCTGCAATGCTATCTCCGCACACGGCTAGCTGGAAAACTTGCCTTTCTGTAGATGAAATGAAGCACAATAGCATGTAAGGAGGTTCACCTGTTTTGGTTGTGTTCCTTTTGAAAGGAGAGCTTTTTCGCCAGAGCTTTTTCACAAAGGGAAAATCTGAAAAGAAAACAGAGGATTTAACAACATGTGCCTTTAATCACCCTAAAGCCAAGAATTCCCTCCCAGATAAAGAAAAAATCAGACCAAACAGTAAGACACAGCAATACAATCCACTTCTGATTTAAAATAATGACAACTACAGCTGTAAGGAACAGAAAATGTGGCAAACCTGACATGTTCTTTTCTACAAACTGAAAGAGAACATGCTCTTTTTACTCATTCAGACCAAGGAACCCAAGAGAACCAAACTGTACCAGAAAAGTCCCCGAAAAGGTAAGTATGGGTAGGTGGATTCCAAAGAGTCCAGCCTTAGAAAGTAAATGACAAGAACAAAATTTGTTACTTGTCAGGGCAGGCGTTTGCATGTATATTAAAGAAAAAGAAGAGGATAAGAGAGGAGAAAAAGGCTAAGAACCAGTCTAAAGGGGGAGAAAAACAACCACTTTTCTTAAGATGCACACATTTTCTTTTGTGTATGAAGGAGAACAAACATGAAAACACATGTTGGTATTGACACAAAAAGTAGTAAGAATCAAAATACTCAATTACATGCCTAACTGGAGAGGAAAAAAACCACATTTATTTACATGCGACATGCACTTTAGCTATTAGCTTGGTATCTCTCACAACAAAAGTGACATCTCAAAAAACAGGTTTGCATTTTGGCTTTTTGTTTAACTTCCTATTACAACTTTTTCCTGAAAAGAGAAGCAGGCTGTGACTCCAAGTATCACTGCTTCTACAGGTAGGAAGAGTGCACATCAGCGGTAAGTTCAAGGCATACCTTTAAGCGTGTTGAAGGAGAACCTTCGCTGTACACAATCCACGATCTCCTGCTGTAAGCATGAAATAAAGGCTCCTGGCTCTCAGTTTGTGGATAGGGACAAAATGAATTTGATCCAAATTGAACATATTTTTAAGACCTTTGACATTTTTTACATAATGTAATCCATAAGTAAGGAACCAAGGCCTAAAATGTAACTGATCATATAAAAAGCACTGAAAGTCTAATATGTCAGATAGCAATAAATGACAAAAATATTACCATCAGATCATCTTATATCAGTATAAAAAGCAAATGTGACCACCTGACAGCTCTCATTTCCTGACTGCTCCAGAACTACAGTTTAGAGCAATTCATAATCATACTGGAAATTTTACTTGTACCACAAAGCTTCAAATTTTTCATACACCTTTGGCTTGGTTGTAACTTCCATCACATTTTTGGTATTTGTTATGTCAGTGACCAGCTCCCATACAGAAGTGCAAGGAAGTTATTGCCACATGTGGAATTCCCCTCAGATTTTTTTCTATTTCATACTGTTTACTCTACTGGGACAAGAAAAGCACTGGGAAAACGATTTGGAAGAAGGGACCTCACCATCTCGTTTTAAGTTCTATTTCTTAAACGGGGGAGGGTGAGGGTGGGTGGAGAATCCATAAACACCTATTTTGACAGTGTTTAGACTCAATATGAAGGAAACATACAATGAACAGAGAACTAAACTGGAGGAAAGCAAATACCACTGATTATACTTTAAGAAATCTTCTAACAAGATAAAAATGACAGATTGTAACAGAGACATTAACTTATACAATAATTTGGCTCACGCGTGCAAGCCGAATGCCTTTTTCAACATGCACCATGAAAAAAATTCTGCATGTTAAACATCATGAATAACTTCACTGGTCTTAACAGGGTTCTCAACATGTACAAAACTATGAATATAGGGGGGTTTGGATTTTTTTTGCCATATAGTTAGACATGCTGCTGCCCACATTGTTAAAATTGCAGATTTAAACAATTAGAATGGTATTTGAAATTTTAAATGTAGAACCTTCCCTACATAAAATTATCATATCTTAGCTTTTCAGAATTGTGCAAAATGAGAACTTTCCCTGGCATACGTGGATTGAATTGTAGGTATATTGGTAACCCACAAGTTACTCTCTTTACTAAGCAAGGCTTCAGTGACTTTTTTTGGTCAAAATGAACAATGAAGGCACAATATTTTGTGTAAGTTCAAATGTTTAGGTTCATTGCTGTAATCACCTTTGGCCAATAATAAATAAGAGACTTGTATTTCAACTATCATTGTCCTAAATGATAGGGCGTTTGGCAGAAGGGATTTCTGTAACTCAGAAGTATCGTATCTCTATGTGACTCCAGGAGGTTAAAAAGCTAACAAAGCGTAAAGATATTAAAGTCATGCGAAGGAATGACCTGCAGAATTTTGTCACAAATCATGGTTTGTGACAATGGGTAAACCAGCAGTTGCCAGTCCATGCACAAGGAAAGCAACACAAATAACTGCTTTGATTTTAATAACAAATAATGCAAAATCCACTTCTGATTTTCCCTCAAGTAAGCCTGACACTCTTGTAATAATGTTAATTCAGTGGGTTAGAAGCAAGCCTATCAAATAAATACTCAAACTAAAAGTCAATACAGTATTATTTCAAAAATATCTATTTAATTACCCACTTTAAATAATTCAAATGCAAGATACAAAGGGATATAAAACACTAACTCTACTAACTTTGAAGTCGCTGTTGATTTCATCAAATCTGTTTGCCTCTTCAGGCAGCTGGCTTCTAGTATCTTCGGAGCCAGTGAAAATACCTTCTAGATGAGACCGCGTGTGTTGAATGTCCATCCAAATGGATATGACAGAATCTGCCATGTTTAATTTATTTTGCCAACTTCTCACTTGTTCAATGAAATATGCCACATATTTACTTTTTAGAATCATTTGCAGATGAACCTAGGTAAACAAAAAACAGTGAAAAACTGCACTCAAGAAAATAATTAATCAAATAGAGGAACTAGAGCTAAGAAGAGTTTTAAAAAATTCTCCTGTAACCTGTTATTATTGTATATCATAACAGAAGACATCTTTAAGCACTGCAAATGGACAGCATATTATTAAATGATAAAAAAAAACCAACAACTAAGAAAATACAAGCTTAGAAAGCTGTCATTTTGTTAACTCCTACATGGAGACAGGAATATATAACACATAATTTCCCAGGACTAACATCTGGAGAAAACAACTCTCTGCAATAAAGATTTAGGAAAAATGTTTTAACTAACAAAGTGTATCAAGGGAGTGAATAATATTGATATACTAACAGTGTTTCTATTAATTCCAGTGTTTCTATTAATTCTATTAAATCCTTACTTGATTGTTATCTAAAGTTTCAAGCAGCTGTTCATCTGACTTTAATAAAGGAGCTCCATTCCTATGATGCTCCTCATAAGAAAATTCAATGGCAGCCCATGTTTGGCTGATTTCTGTCAAAATCTAGGAACAAGAAGAGTAATAATAACATCTGTCTGTACATATCACATTTCATATTTTCAGTTTCATATTTTGAGTTGAGAACTTTAATTAAATTGTATTTAACTCATAGTGATAGTAAACTATACCACAGATAAGAAGTCAGTTACATTAGGCTGTGAATTTTGCTCCTTAGGTAAGTCACATGAAAATATTCACTTCTATCATTAATTTATTGAAACAAAACTTAATCAAATAAATACTTTGTTACATACTATTCTGCAAAAACGGAAAAAAGAAATGGGCACCTCTTACCTTTTCAGTACCCAACTCTTTCACAGCGTTGTTAACTATATTTTGGACTTCATCTTCTACTTTATGAAGCTGGAGTCCCAGAAGGTCTGTCAAGGTAGTATCTTCTGCTACTAAAAGCCTGACCTATAAGGCAAAGAGACAGCAGGGAGCAAAATAAGCAGACAAATAAGAAAAATCACACATAAGCATATAACAAAGTTTTCAAACAGTATCCATTTAAAAAAACAACGAAATAAGTTATATGCACTCCAGATACTGGATATACTTTCAGATTTGCACCAAACCCATGAACTTAATCAGCCTAGATGAAATACTTCTTGATGCTGTTACCGTATTTTTTCATTTTTTTCTTGTACTGTGACATACTCTGTATCACAGCACTAAAAGGCAAGTTCATTTGCACAGCTGCCATTGAAGTCGATGCAAGCTGCAGACACGGTTTTTGCACACTAGAAATCTTTGGGAGTGTGGGGATATTGGCCATATTTTGTTACTGCTTTGTAAGATATCAATTTAAAAAAAAATTTCAAGATTTTCATGAAGGCTTTCAAAAGAGAACAGTTTTTCATTTCTTGTTTAAAAAAAAATCACAAAATTTTTGTGCTAGGCCTGTTTAGGAGCTCTCTGCATTAAAAATAATTTAAAATGTGCTTTTATTAAAACTGTATGTGAAAAATGCTTGGTATATTGGAATGGAAACATTCTGTTACACTCACTTTCTTCTGTGCTTTTCTTTCAGCTTTCCAGCTTCAACTTTAAAATGACTTAAAATGGAACTTCAATTTCTTTTTTTTCAAAATGGCTAAACAATTTTTTATTCAAAGTTTGAAAACCTACAACTGGTCCGTGTCATAGCCTAGGAACCAAAATCACTGGGATTCTTTCTGAGAAATTGAAATAATTTTTTTTTTGTTTCACAGAAAAATCTTTGGTTGTGTAGCTGTATGATCAACCGCTGTGCAAAACGTATACATCTCTCCCCCTCCTTACATGCCTCTCTTTTTTCTGTCTACTGTCAGATCAACAGTTTCCCTATGCACTAATTCTCAAAAAAATTTACTAGTAACTTGATGTTTCAAGTGGCCTTTCTTTCCTCACTTCCATTTCCCTCTTCCTATCATTTCCTCTGTTGACTATTAAGAAACATTCTCTTTTGCTATCCAGGAAAGTTTCTTGCCACATTGCTTGGTTTTCTTATAAATATTTAATAGAAATTATTACTGGGAAGTATTCCCCTGTCCCATACAAGACAGAGAAACTTTCAAGGTTAGTACTGTTTTCAGGCTCAGCAGGGAGACAGCCAGGTACGAAAGAACCCTCTAATTTAGCAAGGTAGGTCTGCCTTCAGAGAATTAGGTCCTTCTGTCTGAGTAGAGACCACTAATTCACTTCTGAACCCACAAGATGCCTCTGTTCGAAACCTCAATCTCTGCTCCACTTACGTGTTGAACAGTTGGCAGCAGCAGCTCTACCACTTTCCTGACTACTGCTGCTTCTATGAGTAAAGCATGAAAGACCATCACCAGGATCTTTTTGGTCAAATACTTCTGTCACATTCGTGACCTGGTACCAGTGTCTCTGACTGCAGAATTTTGCAACTCCAATATCACCCTCAGTAACGACATCAGGTTCTTCAGCTTTAATGCTAAGCCTCCATATACATCCCAGGAATGAACTTTATCCAAAGACCGCATTTCCTAAGGAAGAAGATTCAAAGATTAAAAGAATTACATTAATTACTTGCTGTTAACAGCCACCTTGTTGATAACCTTCAGAAAAATTTAGGAGGTTTGTCAGAAAGCATGTTTCTTATTTCATGTGCAGGTGTTTGGGATCGCTGTAGTTAGTGCAAGACTAGGGAAGATTTTATTGGGGTCATTGGTTTATGTGACAGATAAAGCAAAGCCTCTGGAAGTCTGCTTTCCGGTATGGTAATTAAAGTAATGGAACTGTATTAATGCTATTTTTACACAGTGATTTTATGATCACAGTTGGAACGAATCATTTGCTTTACCACAGCCCTGATGATTTAAGTCTAATTTTCTTATTAATAAATTCACTGCAGATAAAAGTATCCATAAATTTAATACATTCAAAACCACCTTTCAGAGGGGTAAGAAGGACTCATATGCACACTGCAGCATGATGAACATGACACAAGTGATCAGCTCACAGGCAGCGACCAGCATCTTCTCTGTTCCATGACCTGGCATACGTGCCACAGCGCGTGATGCAAAAGCAGCAGAAGAATGCAGTTATCCTAACCTTCACCTAGCTTTTACCAGCCCTGTCACAGAATGCCAACCCCCAGTATCAGAACTGGCTAGGCACAGTCCATAATTTTGAAGCAATTTAAGCCAAGACATCTGCTGTAAGTCTGATTCTTCTCTTACAGAACTACTATTTGGGCATGCAGCCAAACCTATTTGATCCTGAATGAAACAAACATGTAATGAAGAATAAACTTTATCCCCATTAGGTTCAAGGCTTTCTTCCTTCCATACTCAACTACTATACCGCCTATGAATCAAAGCTATTCGTCCAGTGTCCTGCAAATAGCCTGGGAGCCTTTGTTGCTATTTTTGCTTCATACTTCCCTTGTCCCAGTGAAACTGTCTTCTGCAGGGCTACTATCAACAAAAGACTGCAAATACTTCAAATAAAGAAAGTGCCCTCCCTTTTAAAATGAGCACCTTTGCTGCAACTCCCAGCACTCTGGAGTTACATCTAAGAGCAGAACAGATAAACCTCCGCACATTCCACCCATCTTTAAAAATAATGACTTTCATCTGGTGGAGCCTGCCATAAAACGTTACCCTCTTTATTCTTCCACATACTGCCTCAATTCAGAGAAGTGACAGCATGGTTTTACCATGTACATCCACAGGGACTGGAAACTCATTCAGAAGAATAAAGTTCTAAAGAAAAGCCCCCATAACAAAACATGTTCCAGAACATTCAGTCTGGACATGAGTAACAAATCCACTGAAACATCAAAGTGGGTGGGACAAGCGAGGAAGGGGTGGCACCAAGACAGATCAGTTGCAGAAAGAGACAGCTACGGAACCTGCCTTGGCAAACCCTCTGAGCTCCACATCCATCTGTTCCACATTAATCTGTCTCCACTGGGTTTTAGCTCAATCATCAACGCTGCTCTGAAACAGAACGTACAGATAAAAGTGTCAACAACATTTGGTGAACACAAGCTTCTGCTATATAACAGATAAATGGATGCTGGGGGAAAGCCCATCACACAGCAACAGCTCCTGGGCCTTATTTTTTCCAACCCTACGCCATCACTACCTAGAAGGCATAAAAAATAATCCAACTTCTCAAAATTCAACCCAAAATCCAAGCATTTAAACAATTTCATACTTCAGTTTTGCTAGGTATACATACATACCTACCTACCTTTCTTGCGCTGTTAAACACACATCTACATCCACTGATAATAGACAGATGCACTTGGGAGATGTGGCAGAAACTGCCCTGCACCCCCTCCTGGCAATACGAATGCTAGGCAAACAATTATGACAAGAAAATCTAGTATATATTTTTTTAACTGCCTATGAAAAACAACTTCTTGAGGTAAACAGAACTTTACAAGGCTGATTTCCTGTACAGGTCTGTTCACTGACTTTTCTGGACTCTTGCTTCTGGTCTTCTATAGATTTCTAATGTATAATCCTCAGTTCTGAGGTGGAATTTTCTGGCTTTCTGAATTTTTACTCAATGATTTTAATTATTCAAGAAAGTTATTGGTATTAAAAGCTCAAAATTAAACTACAAAAGTTGTTTCACTTTGGGATTATCTTGAAATTGGTTAATTTGAGAACAGAGATATTTTTACATTGGGTATTCTAAAACAGCAACTATAATTTCAAAAACAAAAAGATTATGAAAAACTTCAGTATTTTAAACTTTTGTTTTAAATCAAAACTATAAATACTCCCAGGATCAAAATAAAAGTATAACACTCAGAATATATCCTAAATTTATAGTTATTTTTTTAAAATCTTGCATTAATATAAACACCAATATCCCAAACTTTCTTGAGCAACCGCACTTCTTTTCGACATTGTTTCATTTGCGTGTAGTCTGGAACAGCTACTTCAAATAGTTTTGCAGATTCCTGCATTAGAAACATTTCCTTTTCCAGCATCTCAAGCTCTTGATTTGCCTTAAAGAAGAAAAGAGCAGTCAATAAAGTACAGTTACAGAATATATTGAGCTTACCTAAACCCAGCATTGAAATCTACGGATCCTGTGTATATGATTCAATATAAGAAAAGCTAACAGCAATTATTGCAAAAAGAGGTTAAAAAACTGCATTTGCACTGTTTCCAAAAGAAAAAAAGAAACACACACAAAGGGCTCTATATCTGAACCATAACAAGAAAAGCTGCATAGAAAACAGTTAATTTATACTCTTGTAGCTAATCTCTTAACATTTTAAATCACTTCTCCTTATTTTAAAGATGTATATGTGTTTAACAAAGTTCCTTCATACTATTTTAAAAAGATCCACTACATCTTCCACTTCAGACTACTGTATTCAAGAGCACATTAGGGTGACTTTTTAAAAGAACATGAATAAAGAATACCAGCAAGTTCTGAAATTTTTTGTTTTATCAGTGAGCATATGTAATATTGGAAGAGAAAAAAGAGGAAAACTAGATTTGGTGGTGCTGGCATTATACCAGCTTCTTGGAAAAAAAACAAAAAACAAAAAACAAACAAAAAAAAACCCCAAACCAAAAAACTCCCCCCCCCAAAAAACCAAAACCCAAACCAAAAAAACCCAAACCAACAAAACCCCACCCAAAACCAAAACACCCCAACCCACAAATATTTTTATATTTACATAAAAATATAATTAAATTTAGTACTGAAAGATTAGAAGCAAATATGTTTTTCTGAGATTCCCCATTACCCTACCAAGACGAGCATATGCATTTTCCGCACCAAACTGAAAGGTAACTTCCATTTTAAATCTTTCTCCGAATTCCATCTGCTTCCCCTGATGAAACACAAGTAATGACACCTGTCACTGTTCACATTCTCATAAAAAAAAAAAACAGAGATAAAAAAGACTGACCACAGAATTCAACGTACATTAAGTAAAGTGCATTTTCTATGATTCTTCTGATAACTGCAACTTGAGAGGCCTGAAGAGGAGTTACTTTGTGTTTTACTGACACAGCTTTCTTCTTAACGGCATTCCATTTTTCAGGTAATTCCTATTTAACAAAGTAAAATTATCTCTAAAGAAAAAATATTACATATGGCAGAAAAAACATCAGTAAAATTGTGTATTAACAGTAAGGATACCCCAACACCTGCCTACAAATAAGAAATTATAGTGGAGAATTTACTTAACTATGTCGTAGCTTTTACTAGAATTTTTGTCACTTGTAAAAAAATTTATTTTATGGATCATTGGTAATCATAAGCTACTTGAACTAAACAAACTCAGTTATTTTATGTATAATCACATAAAACTTCATTCAAAAATACACTGGGAATCTTCCACACAGCAAAACAGAGAGCTCCAGTCCTGCTGCTTTAATACACTTTCAAATATACAAAGCTGAGCTGGAAATAGCTTTCTCATTCTACAGTCTTCCCCAAGATCTCTAGAAAAAACATTCAGTAATCCATGTGAAAAGAGCCATTCCAGCAGGATGAAAAAAAATACCTTGGCAGGCTCTTTGTCTGTGGCAACAGAAAGTACAAGAAAGAGAAGCCTGAATCCAAGTCACTCCACAGTAACTAGAAGACTAGTTTAAGGTATGCATCAAAAATCGTAGATTTATTTTCCTGGTCATCCCCTCAATCTGGTTTGGACTAGATAGACACAGAAATGGGAGTTCCACTGTGGACTGGAAAACTCACTGCGACTACTGAGAAGTCTTCATTTTGACTGATTAGATTATCTGATGAAAAACATTTACTGAACTTCTACCCAATTCTATTTTTCACTATTTACAGTACACTGCATCTCCCAAAACAGACCAAATAGAGGTCTCTCATATGTAGGTGCTGATCTAAAGCCACAGCTTACTAAGCTCTTTTAGTGTCAGCACCAACCACGGCAGCTGCAGTGCTTTCTCACCTAGTCCTACCGCCAAGTTTTGTTTAATTTGGTTAATTCCCCCAATTTCACTTGCTACCCAATGCAATTATAGCTGGAATGGGTGTGGGTTAGAATAATACAGAAACAAGTGGCTGAAATGTCTGAGAGACAGCATCACCTGGCAGGCATCAAATCCCAGCTTTTGTACCCACATTCAAGCAGAGCCCCAAACGACTGCTAACCATGTTAACGAAGGTGAAGCAACGTAGGAACATGCACTCACTAGAGTTTCCATATAGCTCAGCTCCTGGGAGGAGGCTTATGAATGTGAACGTGATTTGATCAATAAAAAATAATAATAGCAAAAAATAACTACGGACCTCATCAGAACAAAATGTAACAGATCTCTTTTTGAACTAATTTTCCAATATTCACATGCAACAATTCTTTTAAAGAACATAAGAAGAGCTACCTGGTTTTACAGCTGGTAATTGAGAAGGAGAGGAAAGAGGAGAATGGAATTATTTTGCATCGCTGAGATCAAGTACTGCTACTCTGGGACCATATACGCACATACGGAAACATGATATATTATTTTTGCTACAGTACCTCTAACTGGGCACAAACTTCACCTGGCATCTTCTGTCCATAGCTTTCTCACAGTGCAACCATCTCTTTTAAAGGTTCAAAGAGTTCATCAGCAGTTGTCTGCCTCTCTTTCACAGCCAAGAGGTGGCCCATGATTTCTACCAGCACACAATAATCTCCCTCCGTCATCTCTCTTTGAAGTCCAGAATCTGACACTTTTATAAATTCTTCTAAATCAGTCAGACTACCAAAGAGAGAAAGGTATGATCATGAACAGAGTAAACCTTCTTTACCATAGTGAATAAACATGCACTGGTGCTACTAGTGGCACTTACACTGTTTAAAAAAAAAAAAAAAAAATTATTTATAAAAAAAAATAAAAATAATATAGTTTTATTATATCATTTTAAGAGATTTTGGTCCTGACTTCCAGAAATGGCAAGTGCTGCTATTGAGAAAAAACCCAACAGGATAAGCAACTACAATATCTGGAAAAAAAATTCAAAGAAAAAAACCCAACAACCAAGAACTAAAAACTCACTAAGAAAATAACAATACAAAAGCTGCAAACCCATCTCATTGAAGTAATACATGTAAGAAGACCCCAAGCTTACAGTTATTGCTTTAGTGCACGTAAACATGCACACACACACTCAATTTTACCTAACAAGGACAAATCTCAAGAGATACTCCTTAAACATCCAGCTCCGTTTCTTAAGTGTTTAGCAAGCTCATTTTGAAAGGCTTCACATCCACTTTAAACCAACTTTCAAAAATTTTTGAGTCTTCAAACTTGCTTATCTGAACATAAAGATTTTCATAGTTGTCAATCTAGAGCAGAAGAGAGAGAAATGAATGCATATAGTCTTACAATTCCCTCCACCCCAAACAGGCAATTACTCTCTTGCTTGATCTTTAAATAGTTTAACAGTGGGAGGCTGTTGAGAGAATTTGTCAGTAAGAGGCATCTCTGTGGATGCTAAACCATGGCCATGGAGAAGGAATTGTAGCATGAACTTGGACTGATCCTCCAGCCAGAGAGATGCATAGCTAGCAAGAGATTTTTTGTGCTCCAAGGCTTTGCTGGTAACATTTGCCACTCTCTCCATACTCTGCTGCCTGATTACAGATGAATCAAACAGCTTGTCCATATCACTCTAGGCGTCAAAAAAAAAAGTTTTGTTATTTCGGTATGCAAGACAGTAATATCAATCAGTTAAATTTACATGCAGTTGAAAGACTGGAATTCCACCCTTGTTTCCCAGAGATCTATTAGCAGGAAAAATTACAACTGTCTCAGCTGTTCCTATTTTGGTTTATGTTTTGTTATATGAATGCATAAAACCAAATTGAACACAAACCCTTTGCAAATTGTTCAAAGCTGATCTTTTCATGGACTGTATATAATTCTGACCACCAGTTTAGTGGATGCTCCATTACTTGTCTATGAGATTCAGTTTCCACTACCTGCAGATTTACAAACTTCAACATGGTACCCAAGGTGGAAGCTCACAGCACAGGAACCAAGAGATAACTATTCAGCTAATCTAAATTAGCTTTGAGTAAAATGGGCAACTTGGTTCGGCTGCTCATGGATGCAAAAGTGTGTGAAAGCATGAGTAAGTCTTTGGAAAAGAATGGGAACTACACGTCTATAAACTGAGTAACTGAGAGAACCGATGAGGTTCAGGATTGGAAGACTGATGCTATTAAATGAGTTTACAAATAAAAATAAACTTATTCCAGTTTACAATTAACTGGATTAATTATTTCCAAACACAAGTGGAGATGCTGTACCTGGTAATGTTCTGATCCCAGATGCGCTGCTACCCTTTCCACCTGGGAAGACATTCCAAAAACATCACCCAGGAGTTCATCTACTAGGTCATAAAATCATCACCAGACTCTGTATCTAGAGAAGGTTTAAATTGAATCTCTGTGCCATTAAGGATCATTTGTACTTGAAAAAGTGGAGCTGGCTTCAAACAACCTTCTGTGTTCTCCAAAAAGAAGTCTAAAGAATGCATTATGGTGTTATATAAACCATCGACCACAATGTCATCAATGTACTCTAGATAAATCTTCCAAGAGTCTGAGGAGGAAACTGCTCTGAAGAGCTTTAAATTTTCCTAAACAAGCAAACAAAGAAACAACAACTGAAAAGTCCTTTAATATGTGGTTGCGTTACTGTAGGTCTCCATTCAATACACCTCCTTGTTTCAGTATTATTTTATATAATTGATCTATATTGCAAAACAACACCCTCACATTTATACTAGCAAAACTCAGCGCAAGGGTGAAGGTATCGCTGCGTTGAAAAGGCTACACGTTGGCAGAAAACTATCATAAAATACAGCAACGTTGACGGAATATCCACTTTTTGTAAGAATACTTCTGCATGTTTCTTCTGCGTTGCGGTATCAACCCTTCTTATAGTTAACTAAAGATTAACAAGAAACCTTATTTTCATCTTTTAAAATAAATATCAATAGAATAAACAAAGACAATAATACAAATAAAATTAGGTCTGAAACTGAACTAAAAGATACTCTTCAGATGGTAACACTAAGATCAATGTTGATAACAGACACAAAAATTTGTTGCGGTAGACACAGAAGCAGGTACCTCAAAAAAATTAGCAAAAATGGGGCAAAGAGACCAAAAAACCTGCTTCTGCATTCACGTCTTATCCAAATTAAGTCCTTTGACTCAGTCACTGTACCATATACCACTTGTAGTCATGTAATGGCAGCAGTTAATATTTAAGGATATTATAATTCGATCGAGCATTCATAAGTAAACTGGTGAATTATCTGTTGTTTATTTTTATTTACACATATCAGGAGGCAATATTCACATTTCAAATCAAAATTATTTCACAATATATATAGTGCAAGAAACAGGACAATTCTGAGCTGCAGAAATTATTTTACCTGTAGGGATCACAGAAACAACAAAGCTCAGGGTAACAAAAATGAGACAGCAGCACTAGCATAACTGCAGCTTGCCAGTCATTTCCAATCTACCAACTGTTAAAAGCATTAATGTTCTCCTCAGACATTGCCAAAATTGTTCTCTCTTCTCCCTATTTGTCTTCATATGTCAGTCTTTAAGAGCTTTCATGCCGTTTGTGCAATTACACAAATAATTGAATAAAAATCTACAAGTCACCAAGTTTTAATAGTCAAATATTTAACACCTGTATCACTGCATCAAAATACAGCTCACTTGGCCATTACCTCAACAAGATGATGGATCTGGTAGCTGTCTTCTTGCAGCATTTTGTATATTCTAGCAAGCCTTTCTCCTTTGTATAGGTATAACAGGTATAACAGAGCTTCTTTTTTACCTTTCCTGAAAAAGAGGGCATGTTCCATCCAAGCATTCATAATCCCCTGGATTGATCTAACATTGTCCTTTGATTACTGAACTCTCTGCTCCAAATCACACACTGACTTTTTCACTTGTTTGATGCGGTCCCAGCAGGTTGTCATCACCTGACACATGCATACTTCTGCTTCTTTTAGCTGGTAATCAATAATTCTCAGCTCTTTTTCAATCAGAGGATATTCTAACTGCAGGGAAGTCTGCATTAGACTGTTGTTCAGCTGAGCAAGAAGTTTAAGACTTCCGCTACACTGTTCATGGGAAAGACACACAGTATGAAATGCCTCTAATGTCCCACACATGACATTGTGCACTTTGCTGGGCAGAACTGCTGATTGAGTGAGGTCTATAGACTATGAAGGGGAAACATCATTTCGATGTAGGCTGCATCAAAAGCAGCGTGGCCAGCAGGTTGAGGGAGGGGATTCTGCCCCTCTGCTCTGCTCTGGTGAGATCCCACCTGGAGTCCTGCATCCAGCTCTGGAGTCCCCAGCACAGGAGAGGCATGGACCTGTTGGAGGGGGTCCAGAGGAGGCCACAAAAATGATCAGAGGGATGGAACAACTCTCCTATGAGGAAAGGCTGAGAGAGTTGGGGGTTGTTCAGCCTGGGGAAGAGAATAAGGTCTCCGAGGAGACATTATAGCAGCCTTCCAGTACCTGGAGGGGACCTACAAGAAAGCTGGAGAGGGACTTTTGACAAGGACATGTAGTGATAGGAGAAGGTGGAATGGCTGTAAACTGAAGGAAGGTAGATTTAGATTAGACAGAAGAAAGAAATTCTTTACTATGAGGGTGATAAGGCACTGGAACAGGTTGCCCAGAGAAGCTGTGGATGCCCCCTCCCTGGAAGTGTTCAAGGCTAGGCTGGACCAGGTTTTGAGCAACCTGGCCTAGTTGAAGGTGTCCCTGCCTATGTCAGGGGGGTTGGAACTAGATGATCAATAAGGTCCCTTCCAGCCCAAACCATTTCATGATTCTGTGAAACCATGCAGACCTTGAATGTCTCAAAACAGAACAGGCTGCCAGGTAGAAGGTAAGCTACGGGAAGGCAACTGGATCCATAGCCTGGAAGATCCAAACTGGTAGTAGCCCCAGCTATCTAATACTCAGCTGTGGCCAGCATTGCAAACTGAAATATAAGCTGCAGGTGGGATTCTGTCAGACAAAGATGGGATATTTGCTTTCAACAACAGGATAGTTAGAGCTATGCACATGCTCACATACACGCATGCAAGTTGCAAGGGCAAGAGGAGAGAAGAAAAATAAAAACACATATTACTAACACATCCCACCATCACAAACCTTTTTAACATTGTTCCTTTTCTCATACATAGCTAAATCAGAATCTGTAATACTGGGCTGGTTCAACATCAAGAGATACTTGACCTCTCTCAATAAAAGCCATTAGCTAGAAGAAGGAAAAAAAGAGTTTATCTTCTATTTATCCTTTCAGAAGCCTCAACACAATGACTTTTTGTTTGCTTTGCATTTAATCTCTGATATAAAGGCATTAGAATACCTTTTTGATGACTGGAATATAAGAAAGTATACAGGAGACATTTTAATTAGTATTCAGCAAATTAAGGATAGGGATTTAAAGGCTGTTTAATGTTTTATAACTTAAAGAACCACTGCATTTTACAGGGTAAAAGGTAACTGTCATTATTATATTTCTCCATGTGTCTCTGGGGAAACCATTTACTACTGTAGTAACCTTCTTTACTGTTCAAAGTAAGAACTCTCCCCTGAGCAGGTAAAGGGCAACTACATTTCCTGACTGGAAAACATAGACAACAAAATAAGTAAGATTTAAATTTTAAGATTTACTCATACTCTAGAATATTACTGTCATTCTTTAGAATATAAAGTCAGGGGGAAACATCAGACACACATTTAATTACAATTATACTTACATACCTTAGGGTCAAACTTCACACTCAGGAGGCTATTTTCGGGATTATGCTTAATTAGAGGTTGGTCTAAATTACACTGGCAAATTTCATCCACCTGAACCTTCCATTCACAATAGGTCTGATCTTCGTATTGGTCAAGGAATTTCAACAACTCCACATATTGCTGAGAAATAAAAGCAGCTTCTGGACTTTCTAAGACTCTGCAAGGAAAAAAAACACACCTAATCAGTTATGTTCTTTTAATGATAGCAATTCACAAACAAATTCTTGTGAAAAGTTTTAGTTTCACACATTATTCGTTTTTAGATGAAGCTCTGTCGATGCCAGTCATTTTTAAGTGATCCATAGCTTTACCAAACTGAACTAGAGGGAAAAAGATGCATAAAGCAAGAGGTGAGAACACTGGGAACAATTAAAACTCTGGGGCAAAAAGAGGCTATACCCCCCCCCTTGCATGTTACTAGCTCTGTCAGTGGTCAACAGCTGGAATTGTTATTACTCAATAACTTAATCCAGGTGTGTCTAACACTCTTACAGGAGCTTTCCATCCTTTGTGCTGGCACCTGAAAGCATGTTTGTTGAGGGATCAGGAAAGGAGGGAGAGATGGGGCACAATTTTCAAATAACTTGGATGTCTAGGTTCCCCCACAAGTATCTTTGAAAGTCAGGTCACCATAGAACAACAATGTTTATGTGCAATATGTTAGCGTTGTCCTGAAGCACAGAAATACCTGGGTTTGATAGTTATTGACTCATCTAAACAACCATCAAGCAAACCTCTTACAGTTATTAAAAAGGCATTCTGAGAGCTCTATTCAGTGCATTTCCATGCAGAACCAGGAATTTTCCAGAATATATCAGAAAATTCAATCTGTAAACATGTATGGCATGGATGTTTAAATTTACTTGAGTAAGAGATCATATTATGCTGATCACACTTGTTTAGTGATTAGCGATGCCTTATTTCCAGGCTGTTAAATTTCCACTAAATCAGTGACTATGAACACTTACAGGTGAGACAGAGACGAGGAGTAGGACCAAAATGTCTGTATTCGTTCCTTCAGTACTTTAGACCATTTAAGGCTTCCTGAAGTAACTGGCACTTTTTGTTAATTATTTCATTCCCTTTTTCCACCTGCTTATTAGAACAGAAATTAAGCCATTATGAACCAACAAGAAAATAATCTTTTTATTTTTGCATTGTGCAATACCTTTTTAGTGTGTTCATGATGTATACACCTGCAGTTATCCAGTTCTTCATCAAACATTTCCAATAAATTATTGTAATTTGGGCTAAATATCCCCATGATGACAGGTTTTTTTAGAAAGCTTCCAAAGATGGTTAAAAGCTTAAAAAGAAAATAAAGAAGAAAAAAAAGAGAAAACAAACAGCAAAGTAAGCATTAGAGTCCTCTTTCTGTAATACTCTCAACTTGAAATCTCATCCAAAATGCTTCTGAAGTACAGGGATTTGAACCGTGCTAAGCTATACTGTTGATATGTGCTGTGTGCTGATAAATAGACCACGTATTTCCAAATAGGCTCCTAAATTCTGCTAAAGTGGTGAATTCTAGAATGCTAAAGAATGACAAGTTAGCTTAGATCTTAGAAAGCATGAAACTAGGATTGCCAGATCCAGGCATGTACCCCACACTCCAGATACTTTCTAAATCCTACCCCGCACTTTTCTAACCTGTGTGTTTTTTCCCCTTTTTCCAGACATATCCTCTCTCATAAGCCATTAGCCTCTTCCTCAAATGTCTCACACAAATACAAAGCCTTAATTGTATGTTAATGTTTTCTGGGGAAATAAAAGCCTACTGCTGTAAAAAGTTACCAAACGAGGCAAGCAGAAGTGAATTCTCTGAGGAAAAATAACCTTCCATTTTTCTCGCTATGTTTAAAGTTAAGACAAGTTATCTGCCTTTTGAAAGCACAGATTTAATACCGTATGTATTATCTGAATTCAGTAAGAAAATAAGTTTGGAAAGAAACCAGGTAAATGGCAGCATTAAATGCAAGATACCTATTTAACTGCTAACAATGCCAGCAACTAAGGAAAATTCACTTACTCAGAATTTGTACTGAAGTACTGCCTTATACTTACCACAACTAATTTGCAATACTTTGACACAATTTGGGTGTGTTGTATCAATGTCATAAAAACATGTCTAAAAGGGACTTCAAGAGTAATTTGTCTGTGTTCCTGCCCCAACATGAGGTCTGCTACACCTATGCCATTTCCAAGAGATTTTTTTTTAGCCCTCACAGAAGGATTTTTCAATAATGAAGAGCCTGTCACGTCCCCTAGCAATCTATTCTAGTGACTCATTACGCTTGGCATAAAGTGGTTTTCCCAGACATCATACTTGAACCTTCTGCACTTTAAATTAAGTTCATTATGTTCTGAATGTAGAGAACAGACTATTTCCTTCCTGTATGCAGAAATCTTGAATGTATTTGAAGATTTATGCCTGTTCACAGAATCATTAAGGTTGGAAAAGACCTCTAAGATCATCAAGTGCTTGCTGTCTTTTCTTCTTCAGCCTCAACGACCATCAACAGATCCTCTTTCCTGAAGTGTAATGCTTATATCTGGGCACAATACTCCATCGGAGACCTCATTAAGGGTGATTAAAATTTGAGATTTCTCCTTGTGCCTTTCAGGACCACCACCCATTTGAACATCTTACTTACCTCTTTCTTAATAACATGACATCACTTACCGAGGTTCTACATATGACAACTCCTAAATCGCATTTTGAAGAACTGTTTCTGATCAGTTGTTCCCTATCTTGCATTTTAATCCTTCCTGCTTAAGAACAATACGTACTACTGCAGAAACATGCTCCAACTACCCAGGCTAACCATATGCTACACTGGACGGAGAGCCTGGACACGTCTGCCAGCCATGAGATTCTCCGTGCCTCATGCAGTCAAGTGCAAATACAGAGTGTTAGTGAGCAGGGAATCTCTCTGTTTCTTTGAATTACATTTTAGATGAGGCCTTAGCTATGGGTTAAATTCTGGAAGGAACCTGTATTCAGAACATCATTAAAATGAGAACAGAATCAAAGAACTCTTTGATTCTGCATCGGAAATACAGGTTAGTCAGTATTCCAAGGCAGTCAATTCACAAATAGCTTGCCTAGATATCAAGAACAATTTAAGCAATGCACAAAATTGTTCTAATAATAAATGAAGAACAGTTTCATGTGTATGGGTACTGACTTTGAATATGGATTCTAAACCTGAACAGTCATGAAATCCTACACAAAGAACTGAGGCAAGACATCTGTCAAGACCCAGGGTTTTGGCTTTTAAATTCAGTAAAATCATCATCAAACTCCTGTAGTGTTCAAAAAAAAAAAAAAAGTATAAACTGCAAGTCTTTCCAGCGGGAAGAAAAGCTAATGGGCAGCATATGGTTGCACTAAACACATAGCTTGCCTCTGTCACTGAACAAGCTTCTGAGATTTTTGTATTTCAGGTTTTCCAGTACTATTTTAATTGAAGAGCAACGATCAATGCTATCTAACAGTCATGCTTTTGTTTTGTTTTGTTTTGTTTTGTTTTGTTTTGTTTTTACAGAAACTGAGTTAACAAATGAAGCATTTGCTCAGCAATACAGATTATTTTTAAATAACAGCATAAGGTCTATATGCATGTGTACCAGTGCAAGATCAATATGTATATGTACTATTAGGAAGCTTGATAAGAGGGATAGCTATCTATGCCAGGTAATATTACTCCTTACTTTTATGCTGTTTTACCCTGTTAACCCTCCCGTTAAACAAAGAACTTCTCAACAAGTTTCTACAAGCTCATATTATCTCTGCATATTAGCATTAAGTAGGATATTATGAACATCAAACTTCAGCTAATCAAATACTTGAAGTCAACTCACTAAGTAAACATCATCTTTTGACTCTGACTCATTGTTACATTTAATTAGATTATCTTAAGAATCCGTAGCTACTGCATGTATTAGGCACCACAACAGTCATTTTCAATAGCCCAGCTGTACTTTCTTAATACTCAAGGTAATTAACCATGTTCACAGATGTGGACCTTTGGAAAAATAATACCATAGCAGAAAATACATGTGCATGTTAATGCAGGTTCATGCAAGGGTGAGCTCCAGCACCTTCTGCTTTGTCCTGTTAGCAACACAAACAGTAACATGTACACATAAAGCTACACTTGTTCCTCTGTTAAATACGTTAAATGTTGACCATTTCTGAGAAAATATTCCTTTTTTTACAGCTTAGTCTCATCTCTTTTCTGTTGCAAGCCACTTGAAAGATAAATAAATAAAAAAACAGAAGTACTAGTAGCCAAGGTGGACATTTAAATAAAATCCAGCGTCTTTGGAAAGACATATCAAATTAACTTGCTTATTTAAGAATCTTCTTCCTCTCTAACCCCCTCCACCCTCAACTAATGTGTTTTTTGTTTGGGTTTTTTTTTAAAAACACACTGCACAAAACCCACACACATATACCCAAAACACGTGAAAGGATGAACTACACACACTTCTCCATGGGGAATAAAAAATTTAGATTTAGTTCTGTGACTGGCTGTATTGAAATATAGATATATTTAACACAGCAAAAATCCATTTAAGACAGTCAGTCTGAAAAGCCCACATCTGTGCCCTGAAAGCTAGGCATCCCTTGGTCCTCTTCGGGGTCAGACCCTCCAGCCACGCCACAAACCAGACCATTGCTCTGTTCTGGATTTTGGACAATTCCATCCACACATTAACCAAACACACACTGCACACTGCCTATTCATAAGCATGCAAAACTTGTGCTTGGAAATATGTGGACACTATTCATGTATCATACACTGAATAGCATGAACCCTGAAGCTTCTGACAAAATAACCATAAGATGACAGCTATTGTTTGATAAAGCTCCTGATTAGTAGTGTCAAACCCAAAAGCAAATATTTTCTGAAGAACGTGGAAAAAAAAATATTTTAGTGATGACAGTAAAAACAGCACAGCAATTGGTGCTTGATATTCCACTTGTACTTCTGTCAACACCAAGCCTGCATACATGCGTAAGAGTGGCTCAAACTTGAAAACTAATACTCTTTGACTATGTTTTACTTGGCAATAAGCTGGAAAGTCAACAAACTTACAATGCAGAATGATCGTTCAGAAACATGCTATCAAGGTTGCTTTTGTCCTAAGTCAGTCAAGTCACTAAGGAAGGACTCACTGCCTCAAAAATGGATCAGCTCAAACCATCTTACAATCTGCATCTGGCCAAACATGATAACTGCTGTAGTTTATCTAGCACCTTAAAACTGTTATTCAAGTGCCTCACCAACTTTTACATTTATGTACGGAGTATGCAGGGCATCCTCCATAGAGTTAAAGGCAAAACCAGGCAAACTACATACAAACCTGAGAAGGGGTGTCTTGAAACCACATCTCCCACAGACAAGGATGCTTCAGAGCATCCTGCTGCTTCAGAAGGCAAAAAAAAGAAAAAGCATCAGCAGGTCTCTGCCACCATTCACTTCTCCTTCCTCAGGCAGCTTTGTAGCTTTGTGCAGGGATTAGTAGGAATTTAGTGTGATTCACAAGGGATTTTATCAGGAGCAATAAAATTTGGCAGTACAGTATAGTGAGTCCTGACCTTAAGACATGGGAAGCTTTGCTATAGATTTTACAGAACTACTAGGATTTTACCCCAAAGACGCTAAGAAATTTGCAAGGCTTCTGCATGAATTAAACCTGTGCCATTCATTTAGTTCAAAGCTTGTTTATGAACATTCCTCTGGGTTTTTAACTACCTAGATTAAGCCACATATTTGCACGAAAAATCAGTGTGCATACACACAGAATATATTTTCTACCACATGTAATACAACAGTAAATTTCTATATTTCATTAATTATTATATCATTATATATTATTTAAATAATAACAACTTTGAGATTTGGCTGTTTCAGAAAATTTGTCTATTAAAATAAGACTTTACCCAAAATATGTATTCCTTGCACACACAGCACTCTCACTCCTTTAATGTGCTGCTAAAAAGACCACGCAGTGTGCCCGAGCTCCCAAAGGCCAGCAAAGCACCAGGAGGCTGAGCCCCCCTCCTCATTGTCTGAATCCATGCAAACCCAGTATAGCTTGTGGGTACACAGGTGTCAGGAGCATGGGGAAATGGCAAGGACACAGCTAGGAGAACCAGCTGCCCTGAGGATTGGAGGGGGGAATGGGTGGGTGCAAGTGTGGAAAAAAAAATTTTATCACCCAATAGAGAAGAATAATTTCATTTAAATGAAGTTCAGTCAGCAAACAGATTAGAAAAAGCATGGTTTTAGTGCA